CGTGATGAAATCAACATTTACACATTTAGGATTCACGAATAAAATTATTATAATTTAAATGATACTATCATTTCACTATGTGTGTTTATACGAATTAATAAATTAAGTTTCTTCCTCCAAAAGTGTACCAATGAAACCAATATGTGGTAAAGAAACATGTAATTCCGGTTGAGGGTGTGTTGGAAAAATACTGATAAAAGTCATAAAAATATTGGTGGACTTGCAATTTGCAAACTACTTCCACCCTCAAACCGTGACATGTTTGAAGTTTGAACGTTGACGTTGAATTGTGCTATAATTTGCATAACGTTTTTCCTGCACCACCACCATTTTGTTACAGATTTATAAAATGTGCAACAAGGCACAAGCTCTTTAATTGTTACTCTCACGTCCATCCCGGAATTGTTTTCACTTTGATTTTTTATTTTTATTATAAATTGAAATAAAAATAAAAATCGAAACTGAATAATAATTTTGAAACAGATGGAGTAATAGATTATTTTCTCTACAACTCCCCTGCAAACAGAGTATCAGTGATGATTTTTTATGTTTTGGGTTCAATGAAAAAAGTAATGACAATGTAAATTAACACACATTTGTGATAATTAAAACAACTTTCGCTTGGCATCATGTTCCAACCTCATAGAGACTTCGCTAGAGGAACCAAAAGTCTTTATGTACATACTAGAACGGTATAACTTTCATAATTAATACAGCTTCCTCCCGCATATATAACTTTCAGTTACATACTCATGTCATTGTTGGCAAGTTTCGCTGTCCACTTCACGTAATTTCTTGTATCTCCGTCGATTCGAAGTGATTGAGGTTTGTCGTGTGTCACTGATCAGTAATCCTAGTGCCCTGTGGCACCGTTGATTGATGGGATTAATTAAAGTAAGATAAGATAAGCCCTGTAATGTTTGTTTTTACAAGAAATTGACCTGTGATCAGATTGAAGAAATATCCTTTTCTTGTCAGCGAAGGGAGAGGGACCCAAACCCCAACCCAATCCCAATTTTACCGACCCAAATCACCAGCTTCGGCTTCATTCAGCCACGTACGCGGTTCATACACGGTGGAGGCTTCAGACACGAAACAGCCTAGCTACTACTCCAGCATCAAGAATCCGACGCAACTGTACTTATCAATATTTTGAGTAAGATTAATTTATTTTCTATTTTCCAAAGGGAAAGTGAAAACAAAAGGAAACCATTGTGTTTGCTCATATGCTCACAAATGTTTATTCCTCGTAGATGGATTGCGACACATATCTTACGTAGTCTATTTTCTATGATCTAGAAACTTGTATCTCTTATTCACACGCAAAATTGAAGAGGATGTTGAAATACATTCGAATCAATGTCCCCTTTTCATATATATCATTTCATACTTTTTTTTAAAAAAAAAAGAGAAATCTTTTCTCTGTTTTATTTCTAGTATTTTAGTTTAACAAAGTTAATTATTATTTTCAGGAGCAGATGGTGCAACCATCAAAACCTCAAAGTGGCTCCAAACTACTAATTTCGTTTTTGAGAGAAGTCACCCAAATACTTTAGCCCGATTAAATTTGGCTTACGTGTTTATTCCCCGCCTAAGCATAGAGAAAATAGCAGGCTAGTCAATTTGGCTGCCTACTTTCAATTTCAACGGTAAATTAATAGTACTACAAATTTCAGTGGCTCAGATACAATATAACATGATATCTATATGGTCTAAGATCAGTCCACCGTAAGCCCATATTTAACGGTTGAAATTAATGGGAAACATCAGTTCCGCATCATTTTTTTTTTAAGACATGGACTGCGGAATTAATCAATCAAACAGCAAGTAACTGCACAATCTATCTCAATTCCCGTTGCTATTCAAATTCTGCCATATTATGGAATGGGATGGTAACGCCGATCGATGCGTATAGCTTTGGCTGACTGTACATTGTTAGTAGTTTATGCTATAAAGCTTATACGCCAGTAAAAGAGAATTGACTCAGCCTTTTTAAGGATCCAACTAATACGTCAGCTACGTAAATTTCTTCACATGATGCGGAAAGGATCTGCTTACACGTCTTTTTGAAACACTTTCGGCCTTCCAGAATATGGGGGTTTTCAAGGAAAAAATATCATTCTTACTCAAAGCTTTGCCTCGTCGTCAATTGTACCTAATAGATTTTCTGTTAGTCAACTTTACCTTAATATTTGAAATTTTTATCAATTTCGTCCAATCAGCCCATTTTCTGTCTAAATTAACGGATCTCCGTTAGTTTTTTAATAAAATAATAAATTTAATTACAAAGATACCCCAATATTTTTAAAAAATTTTAAAATAATCCCTAAAATATATAAAAATAACAAAACAGTCCATTTTCACTTTTTTTATTTTATTTTTCTATATCTTGTTCCATTTCTCTTTACTACTTTTAATGACCATACAAGTCTATTATATGAGTTTTAAAAAAATATTTATTGATTTTCAAACTCTACTGTAAAAATTAATCTTTATATAGTTGTAACTTGTAACCCATGATTGCATTTATATAAGTATGTTAGTTTTTTAATAATATAGTTTAGCAATAAAGACACTATTTTTCTGATTTATTTTATTCTTCCTAACATAAAGATTAAAAACATTTAAATGAAACTAATATTCCACATAAAAATAAAATATTAGCTCAAATAAAAAAAATATTAATATATTTTAGTGTATTACAATTTCACTCAAGAGACTATAACTTGCATTAATATAATTCAATAAAAAATAACTAAAATATAAAATAATTAAGACACTATTTTTCTGATTTATTTTATTCTTACGAACATAAAGATTAAAAATATTTAAATGAAACTAATATTCCACATAAATGCATTAATATAATTCATAAAAAATAACTAAAATATAAAACAATTAAAACCTTAAAAAAAAATCCTGCAAGCATAAGTTTTCCTTCTTCAATTGAAAACCTATTTTCTATTACAACAACTTATTACTATATTGTTACCTCCATTCATTTATTTTAAACTAAAATCATATAGAATAAGCTAGTAAGACTTCCTCTATAGTAAGATATATTAATATCTCAAATAATTATTACAAAATGTTAAATCCTCGCATTGATAAGTATAAACATTTTTTTTATAAATTATATTATGCCATGTAGTCTCTCTAGTTAAATTGTAATACGCTAAACTATACTAATATATTATTTTTTATTTGAGCTAATATTTTATTTTTATGTAAAATATTAGTTTCATTTAAATATTTTTAATCTTTATGTTAGGAAGAATAAAATAAATCAAAAAAATAGTGTCTTTATTGCTAAACTATATTATTAAAAAGATTAACATTTTTATATAAATACAATCATGTGTTACAACTTAACAAAGATTAATTTTTACGGTAGAGTTTAAAAATAAATAAATATTTTTTAAAAAATTCATATAATATACTTTTATGGTCATTAAAAGTAGTTGAGAGAAATGGAAAAAAATATAGAAAAATGAAATAAAAAGGTAAAAAGGTACTATTTTGTTATTTTTATATATTTTAGGAGTTATTTTTAAAATTTTAAAAAACTACTGGGGTGTTTTTGTATTTAAATTTATTATTTTATTAGAAAACTAACGGAGATCCGTTAATTTGGAAGGAAAATGGGCCGATTGGACGAAATTGGCAAAAATTTCAAACATTTGGGTAAAATTGACTAACCGAAAATCTATTGAGTATGATTGACGACGAAGGTGAATTTTTGGGTAAGAATAACATTTTTTCCGGATTTTCAAGTCAAATTGAAGTTTGGCCGAATTTAGTATGGCAAGTATATGAGACGATACACATTAGTTTGTGAAACTGGATAAACCGTAACCAAATCCTTTATCCGTTTGAATTGAGTTTGGTTTTTAAACTGTAGCATGTTAGAATTAAGTCCCTAACTTAAATTGTACTCCTTCCGTCCCATAATTATTATCCACAAAAAACTTTTGTCCCAAAATTATTGTCCGATTTGACTTTTTATAGATTAAATTACACTTTTAACCTTTAGTCAAAATTAACTATTAACTTGAATCCGGTTATCTACTATTGTATAAACAACACATGTGGATGTGAACACACAGCAGCAGCGAAGGGACATCCAAACTCTGACGGCTCAAAAGTGATGGTGGCTAGCAATCCATACAAAATGACCAGCAATTTTCATACAAAATTTCCATGTCATTGATTTCCTTTCTGAAACTGAATATCGGATTACAAATTAAATTTCTTCTGGCAGTTTCCATGTCATAGTTTTCCTTTAGGCTCATCTTTGAGCTTCTTCTAAATGTCAATAGAAGAAATTCTGTCAGATTTCGAGTCGTAACTGCCATCAATTGATTCAAACGACATTTGCAGCGAGATATAATAACGGTTTGGAGGAACATCAAATTGAACTTATAAATTCGATTGGAACAAGCGTTGAAGAATTCCGTCCGAGCCATACCGGTGATGAAGTCTCTAGTGAATAGAATTATCTTCCTAAACACCAAATTGAAACTTAGTGTACGAAGTGTCTCCCAAAATAAAATTCTTAATCTGAAAACTTGGATTGATTATAGGCATACGAGCGAACTACAAATGAAGGCGATGCTCTTACAGTTGAATTAGGGTTCGTTTTTGACTTCCGGTGATAGTGTGAGAAAGAAGTATAAGGAGTTTGGGTTATGAATTCATAAGATATTTTCTAATTAAACAAATTATGTATGTAGCATATATTCGGAAGTTTAAGCCAAAATATTGTCAAGTTTGACTAAAAATAAAATCTATCATCTTAGTTAAATTGGACAATAATTTTGAAAAAGTAGTAATTCGTTCTTTTCCTCGCTATAAGTAGGAGGTAAATTTCACTAATTTCAATAGTAACCTATAATGAAACATAATCACCACTTGCAATTTTTATTAATAAAGGCCTTTACAAAACTGGATTATTTTGTGGAACGGAATAAAAAAAATAACAAGAGTGAAAAAGGCCAAAGCAAGGGAGAACTGAGAACGGGTAAGCGAGTGTAAGAAAGCCGGGGGCTAAAGAAAATTAAAGAAAACCGCAAAATTAGCGAACGGGTCGTTACTTCAGTTGGTTTAAAGGTGAGACCGAGAGACACGTTATAGCGTCATTTCCAATCTCTTTTTGCTTTGGGGTTCGCATTAAAATTCCCGTCCAAACCCCAGCGAAGAGAAAGTACTAAAAAAAATAAAATAAAAGGGAAATTAAAAAGGACGGAAAGGACAACGACGAGAAAAACATGGCGGCGAGATCGCTATTGCGTACCAGAACGAAGCTGTTCTTGGCTACCACAGCGGCCGGCACCGGAGCCGGCGCCGCTATGATTTTGACCTCCGACGATCCCGCTAGCGCTCTTAAGCTAACTACCACCGTCCCCATCCGTCTGTTCCGGGACTCCGTTACCGCTGCCACCATTGCCTTCGGTATTTTATCATCTCATGTCCAATTCTCTTGTTAGGATATTCCTTACATGAAACAGAAGCTAAATGCTTAATTACGTTGAGATGCATTCTTATGTTGATTTTTCTTTTTGTTCACGCGCTCGAAACTCCGACGTAGGCAAAGATAAATGTCATTTGACTAATGAGATCATCCGGAATTTTACATTGCCAAATTTTAGCCTGGCCAGGGTTCTGTTTCTCATTTCCTTTCTCCCCTTGTTTAATTGAAATAGGATTCTGTATGACCTAAACTGTATATCTTAGATCTCTTAGCTTAAGGTTTTCCATGTTTAGCTTGGTTATTTGGCACTGTTTAACAAAATGCAGTCGAAATTAGGGATGATGGGGCAGTTATGGTTATTGGCTATTGCATATTTGCTCGTGTGATGCAATGTTGAACTAATTGGCTATCCGAAAATGCCAAAGTAGAGAACAATATTGACATTTATAGGCTTATTTAAGTTCTTCTTCCGCTTGTTTAAGATCAATTGAATACTCTGTATATGTTACAAAATAGGTGCCGTATAGTTGAATGAACACTTTGTTGAAAGAATTCACTGTGGTAGAAAATGAGGAGGTCATTTCTTTCCCCGAAGTCCGAATTCTATGCTTTTGTTTGTTGTGTTGGACAAATAGCTACATCTTGGCTGGCGAATTAGATTTTTATATGGCGGTGATCTTTTATGAACTATATCTCCACCTTTTAATTATATTTTGCGTACATGTTAATCATCTTTCCAGTATGATGTCAAATTACATGTGATGGTATGGTTATTTGCATTTGTAGCTTCGCTTGGTTGACGATAGTTTATTTTGTTGTCGTTTTTCTGCTGTTATGTGGATACTAGATTATAAATACTCGCTTTGGGGATTATTGGAGGGAAGTGCTGAATGGACACAAGCTAAACATGAAGCTCACATCAGAGGTGCCCGTCGACTTCAAGAGCTTTGTTTCCGAAATGGTGGAATATATATCAAGCTTGGACAGCATATCAGTCAGCTCGTATGTCTTTTTTGACTAGGTTCCTTCCATATGGTTGTGGACACTTTGAACCTTTTTCTCCAAAAATGACTATCTTGATAAGCTGTGTGTTTCGTGGTTTTTCACCTTCAGTACCTAATGTTTCCATGTTTAGGAGTACTTAGTACCGGAGGAATATGTCCAAATAATGAGGGAGTCTATGCTCAATAAATGCCCTGTTTCGTCGTACAACCAAGTCTGTCAAGTTATAAAGAAAGAGCTGGGAGCTTCCCCCGATGAAGTATGTGATGATCCTTGTCTCCAGTAACTACAGCATACCTGAGAAAATTTTGCCTGCATTTTATGCATTGAAGCGCTGAATGATCTTTATTTATCGTATGTCTGAGATATCAAAATTGAAAATGACTTGTTTACAGATTTTTGAGGAATTTGATCCTGTTCCAGTAGCAAGTGCTTCTCTTGCTCAGGTGCATGTGGCACGTACTCGTGATGGACAGAGAGTTGCTGTAAAGGTTAGGAAGATGAGATTTTTATTTTATTACCAATACGGTGTTTTTCCCTTGCTGACCTGTTACCTTGTGTAATCCAGGTTCAGCATACTCACATGACGGACACTGCTGCTGCTGACACTGCAACTGTGGGCTTAATTGTGAACACATTGCATCGCTTTTTCCCTGCTTTTGATTACAGGTTTAAATTTTTCCCGGTCTCAGAAAATGTTCTTCTTTTTTGTTAGTTGGGGGGCTGGTTTGCGTCGAGCACAGCTAGATTTTTTATATGTATAAACCACCAAATGGCCTCTGACATTAATGATCCCAAAGTATGTCGTTTTTGAATATACTTTTTCATTAAACCAAAACGGAATGGAAATTTAGAACTTGTGATTATTTGCTAAGACCCGGTTCTTATGTTAAACTCTTCTAACTTGTATGTAGGTGGTTGATCGACGAAATACACGAGTCTTTGCCAAAGGCTAGTTCTAAAGTTTTCAAACTTATTTTCCTTGTTATGTTATGTGTGTTCTAATCTCTTTCTTGTATGTTAATTCAATCTTGATCGGATCTTGAATGGGTTTCTTATTTTGCAGTTTGAAAGCTTATGTTAAAACTCTTACTCTTACCCTGGTTTTCATTATGTATATCTATCTAAATAGATATAGTCACATAGACACGCATTAGGGTTGCTCTTGTCTTTGTTTTAATCTGAGTGGCCTTTTGGCTTTAATACCCCACCCTACCACCTCATCCGACCTCCCACCCTGAGCCCTTAACCTTTTTATTGGCTAGATAATTATGAATGCCGTATGTTTTAGGTCCCTCATCAACGAACCTGTACATAAAGATTTGAAATTGATGTTCTTTCTATTATCCAATTTAAAAGCAGCTTCATAGGCAATCTTTTGGTGATAGGGACAGCGTAGTTTATTATGATCGACCCCATATTTATGTTCAACATGTTATTCATTTCATTGATAACTTAAGTTGGCTAGGAAAATGATCTAATGCACCAATTCCCCTTTCCTTGTCCATAGAAAAAGCAAAAAATTTAAATGGAAGGATAAAAAAAAAAGAAATTGAGGGTTCCAATGTTATTGCTCTAACTGGATAATAAAAAAAGATACTTATGCATGGAGTTTAGTTCCTCCGGTCATTGGCAACTTTTAGATTCTTTTTTCCATTTTCGTTTTCTTATTTAGTTCTTGGGTCATTTCGGAACATGATTTCTGGCTTTTCTGAAATTGATGGTAGATGATATTTTTTTTCCTTATTCTGTTGTGTGGCACCAACGATCAAGTGACTACTTTATGATTTTGACTAATGTGGGTATCTCAGGAACTAGATTTCATGGTTGAGGCCAAAAACAGTGTAAAGTGCATGGATAACTTCAGGAGGTTATCACCTCATATTGCACGCTTTGTATATGCTCCTTTAGTCTACTGGAATCTAAGCACCTCAAAATTATTAACCATGGAGTATATAGACGGAGTTCAAGTAAATGATTTGAAGTCTATACAGGAACTGGGGATCCATCCTAGAGATGTGGCAAAACTGGTAAGTTTGTTTGACAATTTCGCTTTTCTTTTCTGCTGAGCAGACAATTGACAAAATCTGCCCGGAACTTCTCTTTAATATTCAAACGAACAACTGTTGATCAGTTTAGGTTTTCTAAACACTTTTCTTTTTCCTATTCCACTAGGCGTAGTTATTTGGATCTTTGGCACCTAAATTTATTGTGCATGTACTTTACCCATGCAGAAATTTTCCACCAGTTAGTAGGATAGTATTTTCTCAAATTCCTTTGATGCAATTGAGTCATGAACTTCATACTTTTATTCTTTTCCGCTGATGCTTATGTCTTCCTATGCAGATGAGTCAAACTTTTGCTGAAATGATGTTCAAGCATGGCTTTGTACATTGTGATCCACATGCTGCAAATGTACTTGTTCGCCAGTTGCCGTCTGGCAATGGGAGTATATTTGGTTAGTCAATTGTACTAGACTTTTTGTTATTATGTTTATGATCTCTTTGACCGGATATGTTTTCTTCAGGAAGAAAAAAGCCACAGTTGGTATTGCTGGATCATGGCCTCTATAAGGATCTTGATGATACCATACGAATTAATTATGCTGCACTCTGGAAGGTCCTCTGCAATTTATATAAGATCTTGTATATTAGTAGTTAATCATGGTTGATTTACTCTTTTGACTCACTCGTGCGGTGGCTTTAGGGCTTGGTTTTTTCAGATGCCAAAGCAATAAAGGAAAATTCTGTTAAATTGGGAGCCGGAGAGGACCTTTATGCTTTGTTCGCTGGGATACTGACAATGAGACCTTGGGATAGAGTTATAGACCCTGCTGTTGATCATCTTGTAGTGAACAGGAGTGATCGCTCTGAACTCCAGGTAACTTGGTGCCTGATCTCTTTTAGGATGATTTGCTTTCTGCAATGTTTGCTGCTTTAGGGTGTCATGTGTCTTCTCTTCTTCAAACCTTTGATTTTTTGTTTTCTCTATGGAATGTCACTTTCTGGGGCTTAGAATGTAAAAGTTGGCAATAAGCTCAAGCTCATTAGATTCTATTCTTCTTTGAACTCAGTACTATCTTAGAAGTCCAATAGGCTTCCTAAACATTCTGGGTTACTCTTCATATAGGTTGATGTAAACTTTTGGGTGGGTGGGTGGGTGGGTTGGGGGGTGGATTTGGTGTCTTTCCAAAAAGAACTATATGTCAGTTGTTTCAGATGGGTTTCTTGTCTAAGTTCTAAAGTTTGCTGATTGTGGACAAGGACACAGTCTCAGTGCAAGTTTGTTAACAGGGGTCTTTTCTTTGTGTGCCAGATGTATGCATCACAGTATTTTCCTCAAATTACGGAACTGCTGAGGAGGTTGCCTCGTGTTATTCTCTTAATGCTGAAAACAAATGACTGCTTGCGAGCAGTCAGTAATGCATTGGTATGAAAGATTTAGATTTATTTAGGAGAGTTATCTTAGATTTATGTTTTTTTAAAAATCAGGTACGATCCAGATTACTGATTTTCCTTCTTGTATGGCTGGTTGGACAGATTCAAGAATCTTCTCTGGAATCATTTCTGATTGTTGGAAGAGTTTCTTCAGAGGCAGTTATCGAGTCCAAGTTGTGGCAAAAGAGATCGATTTTATCTCGCCTTGACATTTGGTTAGAGAGGCTTTTATTAGAAACACGGCTTTTTGGAATGCATATTGCACTGTGGCTGTTGCTTTTGCGGAGAGCTTTGACTTTGTAAAGTCTTTTCTCTAATCATAAAATTTTGGAAAACCGTGACATTCTTTGAAGGCCGCAAACCCTTCCTTATAGATTCTTTTGTCCAGTCATCACATCATCACGTCGAAGGTTAGTTTTTAGGAGAAACAGTCAAATTCTTTAGTCATGGGCCTTATGTCCTACGACGAGTTCACTGATGATGATTATGCCATAAACATTGTAGTAGTTGGCTAGTTGGGGGTAGCTACTACCGCGAAGTGTATTTATGGAATTGCTATATTGGTTAATGGATCTGCAATAAGCGGTAATTGATAGCTGAATATCTGCTTAAAATAAGGCAGCTTCCCAAACTTTTTGTAAGTTGTCAAAGAACAGAAACTGAGAAAAGAGGGGCAATAATACCTCTGTCAAACTCGATTACTTGAGGAATCTAACCCGCCAGCCAGTGCTGAGTTCGGTCTGCCATAATCTTTCAATTTGCATTAAAGGCCCAACTGCTTGCCATTGTAACGCCTGACAATCACACTGCCATTCGGCCATTCTTTCGTCATTGTCTTCTAAAACAAAATTAATACTGAGATGTGTCTCTGTAAATCGACTGATTGTTTAATTGTTTACCTGGTACAGCGTACGTATGGCTACGAAAGAGTTGCTACATCTGTGCTAACTTTCGTCGAGTCTACATCTACATCATTTCGTATTTCATCTACTCACCCAATTTCGCTGCAGATTAATTAACCGTCTTTTGATTTGCGTTTTTTTTTTTGTTTTTTCGAAGAGAATACATGGATTTGAATGGGGACTATGGGAGTGTGATTTATAATCATCGATAGCACTTGACTTCCCATTTTATCAATGACAGCCCAGAAAAAGGAAAAGAAAGACCCGGTTTTTGTTCCAAGTTGCCTGCTTTATTTCCTCAACTACTAATGGCGCTGCATCTTAAATGAGATTGTATGTAAAACTCAGTTTGGGCAGTAGAACTTGTCAACCCAACGCGCGCGCCCACAGACACACGGAAAAAAAAAATAAAAAAATTCAAGTGAAGTTTAAGACATCAACAAGAAGTTTTAGTACGACTTGCGTGTTGTAGCAGCCCAGATGGACAGAAGTAGGTTTGAGATGGTTTTAAGAGTCATAAATGCATCAGTACCCGATACAGGTGCGCCATTTATGGCCGATTCCCACCGCAGTTTCCCATAATTTATTCCGATTTTTGGCAATGGTTTTTCTTTAAGAAGCAATTTCTTCAACGTGTTTCCTTTCTTCTGGTTGTGTATATAAATCACCGCAATTCATTGCCATAATTAGTTCAATTTCTCTCTTCGTAGTGAACAGAATAGGTACTTAGTGGATTTCTGTTTACAGCAAGTCAAACTAAAACGAGATGGTTGGACCAATTAGGCCGCAGATTGTTCTGTTCGGATCATCCATTGTTCAGTTCAGCTTCAGCAATGGCGGTTGGGGATCTATTCTCGCTGATCTCTATGCCCGTAAAGTATGTACTTCTCTACTTTCTCTCATCTTCGACCTGTCAATTTTAGCTTACAAGGATTCATTTTTACATCAATTTGAAAGATTATTGATTGCCTCGCTAACACTTGCATGATTGTAGTGTCTGAATTGTGTGATTCTATTTCTACCCATTTACAGTATTCAATGTCGCCCCTCAGTTTACTGTTTTGTGTATTTTGAAAATTTTACAGCTTCTATGACTGGATGATAGTGTGTGAAATGGTGACTTTTTGTGTGGTAGACTCGTATTAGATTGATATATTCATTCAATTGGAACAGTAACAACAATTTTTGTTTGTGAGATTGGTTAGGCGCAAATAAATGGAGAACTGGAGAGTGAAAACTATGAAATTTCTTTTGTTTGGATTATAAATTTATAATAACGTGGCAGAATTGTATATCCAATGTGATTTACACCAGTTTATGATCATGCACAGTGGTGTATAATGTAAGCCTGATATTCTCTTCTAATGGGCGCTTTACGCTTCTTTAATGGTGTAGGCAGACATTGTATTGCGCGGTTACCTTGGTTGGAATTCTCGACGTGCTGTACAGGTCCTTGATCAAGTTTTTCCCAAGGTACTCATTGTTCCACTCTGTCAAAATTTCTCTGGCTGACCACTAACATCATTGCACACACTTTTCTTGTGCTATCTCGGTTCAAATGTCAAAACACAATGAAGAAGCTCATTGCAAATTATGCTTTCTGCTACTATTACTAAGCCATACTAATCATTTTGATGATTTTGCATAGTGATAATCAGAAAGAGTGTTTCTTTTTTAATATTTGATGTGATGATATCTTTAGTTTACTTCAAATGTAGGATAGGCATGGTTTTCTTTATTCTTGGATAAAATCCCACCCAATGAGCACCCTTCTTTGTCCTCTCCTCTCAATCCACTGTAGGCCAAAGTTTTGGTTTTTTGCAGGATGCTGCCAATCAGCCTGCATTGGTGATTGTTTACTTTGGGGGTAATGATTCAATGGGACCTCACACCTCCGGACTCGGTCCACATGTACCACTTCCAGAGTACATTGAGAACATGAGAAAAGTTGCAACACATCTTAAGGTACCTTGGTATTAGTAATGAGTTCAAGGACAAGAATGATATGAGACTTAAATTAAGGAATGGGATTTTAATCAAGTTTCATTAAGACGTTCTAAATGCAACACATTATTGAGCAACCTTTTGGTGTCCTTTGATTTGTTGGAACGAAGAACATTTGACAAAACAAATAACTGAACATTGAACATCAATCTTAGTGTGTTAAAGGGATGATGCAGCTGCGTATTGTTAGACTGTGATTTGCACTTTGTGATGTTGATATGCTAATTTGGTTTGTAAAACGCAGGGCCTTTCCGACTCAACTCGCCTACTGTTCCTCAGTTGTCCACCTCTCAATGAGGTCAAACTTCGTGAAAACACAAGGTAATATTTAGCCGATCTTGCACAGAGCTTTTCTATGGGTACAATTCATTCCATTTGCCAGGGGGTTTTGTTTCATGTCTAATTTCAAGCGGTTCTGTTGATATCATCAGTTCATACTTGAGTGAGCTTGTCCGAACAAACGATTTGTGCCGGAGATATTCAGAAGCTTGTATAGAATTATGTCAGGATATGGATATAAAAGTTGTTGACCTTTGGACGGCAATGCAGAAACGAGAAGACTGGCAGAATGCTTGCTTTACGTAAGTTTGTCTCCCATTCTGATTTTTTCAACACGAATGTTTTCATGTAAGTTGGTCACCTTTTCTGATCGGGTGCAAATGGCAATATAATCTGCGTATCACTTTTAGTTTATATGCATTGCGTCTTGTGCAGGGACGGGATTCACCTATCGGCAGAAGGGAGTATTATAGTGGTAGAAGAGATACTAAAGGTGTTGAAAGAAGCGGAATGGAGTCCCAGTCTGCACTGGAAATCCATGCCTACAGAATTTGCAGAGGACTCACCTTATGACCTTGTGGCTTCTGATGGGAAATCCACTCTGAATCCATCTGATTGGACTTTCCATCGAGAACTCAAATGGGAGTAGCATTCCAAAGGTTATTTTAGTCTACATTACTGTTCCATCTTCTGATGAAGTTGTTTATTTACATTAGACTGAAGTAGGAGATAAAAGAGATTAGGGAAAGACAAAAAAAAAAAAAAAGAAAAGAATTACTCTTGAACCTTGCAAAATTTGATTAGTCGTGATTCGATCCCATATTATTTATTCGCTGGATAATGGTTTCGTATTGGTGTGATTTCCCACTGGAACGGAATAACTACAGTTTGGTTTGGGAAATGATAGTTACTGCTTTCCCTCCGTGTGGACTCTTTTGAGTCCAGATAACGTGTGTTTTTATCATTTTTTGAGATTTTTGTGTCCACTCAATTTGAACTTAACCTTCAAGAAAGATCAGTGACTTACGCTAAAATACAAAGGATACTATCACAGTCCCAATCAAACACAACTAAAGTCCAAATAAAATAAGGGTAAAGCCAAGCAAACAGAAACTGAATGAAACAAGCATAGTATCAGGCATAGTATCAGGAACTGAATGAAATAAGCATCAATGGAGAACTTCTGGTTCATTTTCATTGTTTCTCTTTGTATCTGTGCAATCCTCAAATCCCTCTTCAATCTAGTTTCCTCTTCATCCTCATCCACCAAAAACAAGGACGAGGTTCCTCTTCCTCCTGGTCCCACCACTTTCCCGGTCATCGGCAGTTTGCTATGGCTCCGAAAATCTTTTGCAGAAATAGAACCCATCATTCGAGCCACCAAAAATCGGTACGGTCCCATTGTATCTCTCCGGATCACTTCCCGGCCTTCCATTTTCGTGGGCAGTCACTCCCTGGCCCACCGTGCTCTGGTCCAAAACGGTGCCGTTTTCTCCGACCGTCCCGCTGCCCTTCCGACGGCCAAGATCTTTAACAGTAACCAGCACAACATCAGCTCCGCCGCTTACGGTCCCACCTGGCGGCTCCTCCGCCGGAACCTCACCGCCGAGATACTCCATCCGTCCCGGGTCAAGTCATACTCTCGGGCACGACTCTGGGTTTTAGGGATCCTCGTACAACGCTTACAGAATCATGAACCCGGGGTGCCGGTGGTGGAGCATTTCCGTTACGCCATGTTCGGTTTGCTGTTGCTCATGTGTTTCGGGGGCAAGCTCAATGAAACTCAAATTCAGGATGTGGAGAACATTATGCGGAAAATCTTGTTAGGCTTTGGCCGATTCCAGATGCTCAATTTTTTTCCCAGATTGGGCAAAATTTTGTTCCGCAAACGTTGGAAGGAGCTGCTGCAGATGCGCCAGGAGCAAGAAAATGTACTGCTCCCTCTAATCAAAGCTCGAACCCAAGCAAAACGACAAGGGAAACAGAGTGGATCTGAGGATGAAGAAGTGGTGGCTTATTTGGATACATTACTGGGTTTGCAATTGCCTGATGAGAAAAGAGAGCTTAACGATGGGGAAATTGTGAGTTTGTGCAGTGAATTCTTGAATGCGGGAACAGATACAACCACCACAGCTCTGCAGTGGATTATGGCCAATCTGGTGAAATACCCTGCTATTCAGGATAAGCTTTACAATGAGATAGTGTCCGTCGTCGGACCGCCGCGTCCTCCGTCGAAAGAGCTGGATACGGAGGTGAAAGAAGATGATTTGCATAAGATTCCGTACTTAAAAGCGGTGGTGTTGGAAGCTCTGAGGCGCCATCCTCCGGGACACTTTGTCCTGCCTCACACGGTGACTGAAGATGTCACGTTGGGAGATTACAAGATTCCGAAGAATGCCGTGGTGAATTTCATGGTTGCGGACATGGGTTGGGACCCGGAGGTTTGGGAGAATCCAATGGAGTTCAGGCCGGAGAGGTTTTTAGACGGCACTGAATTCGGTGATGCCGGTGCAGGCGGGGAATCTCAAATGTTTGATATAACAGGGAGTAAAGAGATCAAGATGATGCCTTTTGGTGCCGGAAGAAGAGTGTGTCCTGGGTTAAACTTGGCTTTGCTACACCTGGAGTACTTCGTGGCTAACTTGATTTGGCAATTTGAGTGGAAGGCTGTTGAAGGTGATGATGTTGATCTGTCGGAAAAGCAAGAATTCACCACCGTGATGAAAAATCCTCTCCGGGCATTAATCACTCCAAGAGTTCAATCCATTTGAGACTCGGGCGCAAATATTTTTATGATAATAAATAAGGATTCTGAATCACCCCTTTCAGAATTCTATTAGGCCAAGTATTTAGCTTTTAAATTAAATTTACTATCAGGAAGGAAATCTAAGCAATGCCGTCGTTTCGTAAGCATTGTCCTCATTCTACTAATTAGTCTATTAGCTGTGCTGGTCTTGCTTTTATGTTATTGTTTGGCATTCTACTCGGGTTGTACAATGTATGTATAATGGTATGGTCTGGAGTTGCTAAATTCTCTTTGAATTTCTGTAGTAGCTTTATGAAGGTATAACAATGTTATTGTTTTGGAGTTCATTATCCTTGTACGGAAAAAATCGCGGACTGGGGTATTTATTTATTTATTTTTTTGCATAGAAGGAGGCCAAAATCTAATTTAAGCTATTATATTATATTGTGGGAATATGAAATCCCAAGAACATCGTACCGTAGCTATGGAATAACTGTCATAGGAGGATTGGCTAGTTTCCAAGTTCCCAATTTTTGTTGCTCCGTTAAGGCAATCTGTGGCGAAGTTCGCCTCCCTATGAATGTGCCCAATTTGAACATTCTAGTCTCTATCCATGATTTTCCGTATCTCACTAATCAACGCTCCATGAATTCCGGTTGGTCGCTCCCTATTTGTAATGAGATTGACTGTTACTAAACTGTCTGTCCCGGCTATTACCTGCCTTTCCCCAATCTCTCATGTTAGTAAAAGACCTTGCCGTATACCTCATAACTCCGCTCCTGTTATAGAAGTTGCTCCAATATTCATCATGAAGCCATGAATCCACCTAACTCATTCGTCCCTCACCAAGCCCCCTGCTCTCGCCTCTCCAGTGGCCAAATCATACGCCCCATCAGTGTTTACTTTTACCCATCCTTGAGGAGTAGTGAACCATCTTACCTGAATCCTCTTTCGTGCCAGCGGCCCAGTTCCCAATTTCGCCATAGAGGACAAAGCCATATAAATCTCCTCTACCTTTAATCTAATCGCTCCCAGCTTCCAACTAACAGGGGGATCCGTCCCAGAAAAAAACCAATTCATTTCGCCAGCTCCAAATCTTCCAACAGGCGACTCAAAAGTGCTAGCCCACTTTCGAGCATCGTCTTTTAAATATTTCAATTATAGGTTCGGGTCTAGTTTCTACCGGGAAATGATTAATTTCTTAAATTTTTTTAAACCAATTAGGAACGAGACCCTAACTTAATCGGTTTAAAAAAATTTCAACCAAATTTAAAAAAAAAATTAAAAAATTCATTTCCGTGTCGGTTTAGGGTTTATGGTTTATGGGGTTTAAGCATTTCAATTAGGGTCTAGTTTTTGCCGGGAAACGATTAACCTTTTAAATTTTTTTAAACTAATTGGGCTAGGGTCTCGTTTAAAAAAAATTCAACCAAATTTTAAAAAATTTAACCAGATAATCATTGTATTTTACAGGTTGAACATTGTAGTTTAACCAGATGAACATTGTGTTTTACAGGATGAACATTGTAGTTTAACCAGATGATCTCACAGGACTTTTGACAAATAAGGACCATGATTCTAAGATGAACATTGCAGTATAGCAGGATGCACATTTACATTGGTGCAGTGAACAATAGAAAAGTTTAATAAAGTTTATACTTTCAAAGTGATCAAAGACATTTCAGCAAGATTCACATTATAGCTACAAAGTTTTGGGATGGTAAGTCAAAAATTGAAGTCCACTAGCAGTGAGCACTAGTTGAATTTAGAACTTTTTGCCTCATAAATTTTCTAGATAAAATCTATTGATATTTCCTTGAAGCTCTGGATACAAGTTGTTGGTTCTTGACTGCAGAATTTCAGCCAGATATTTTCATCCGCAAAGTGTTAAGGCGATCTTGCAGGTTTACTTTTGTCCTCTATTTAAAAGCGTCGAAAACAGGAAGACACTCTTGTACTGGTTTCTGTTGCATGACAACATTAACATTAATAAGATGAGTAACCATATGATGAACAATCGCATCTATAAAATGAACAACTAAATCTCACAGCAGAAATTTGGGTTGAAGTTAGAGAACGTCAATCCAGAAATGAACATCAAACAAAATCAACATCAGCATACATGATGAGCATCAAAGCATGCAGGATGAACAACCTAACATTTCTCTGTTAGGATGAGCATCGAAACATACAGGATGAGCGACCACACAAACAATACAACAACGTTTAAATGAACAACTAAACTTCATAGGATGAACAATAATCCATAGATAATGAACAATCACATCTCCAAAATGAACAACTGAGTCTAAGGAACAACTGGTAAATTCTCCCCCCTCCCTCCCCTTCTCATAATCCCTAACCACCCTGAAGTGAAGTCAGTGCAAAGATAGAGATTCAACAACAAAACAAAATTGACAAATTACACTCGTAGGCCAACTGAATAATTAAAATATTGCCATTCATCAATAAGATCAATAAAATTGCACCTCAAATTCCAAACAGAGCTCCGCTTTGAACCTAAAAAAACAATAACGTAGCAGGGGAAAACCGTACTTTCTCCAAACTACTCAAATCCTAATTATTAAAAAAAAAGAATCCAGATCTGAATAAAGTAATGTTCATTTTGAAAAAAGAGGATACTTACTCTGATATCGCGGACTTGATTTTGTATTTTTCACCGTCAAAAGATTCACCGAACGGAGTTTTTGAAAATTTCGGTACAAAATTCACCAAACGAAGGTGTGAAGTGCGCTTTGTAACGACCAGAGAGATGTTTCTAGCAAATTTAACGGACGAAATCTCGAGGATTGGGGAGGAAATTCGCCGGAGAAAGTTACGCCGGAGATCTGGAGTGAAAATCGCCAGAGGATTTTGGGAGAAATCTTGTGAAATTTTTTACTTTTTAAAAAAAGTCATGACTATTTATATTTTTTCAGTTGAAGCAGTGGTATTTTTGTAATTAACAGAAAATTGGGTGCAAGTGGGGTGTTGTGAGCGCGTGTGGTATAAACTAGGAGCTCCCTAATTAAGTTGCTCCGGGTGTCCCATATATTAATTGGATCGATGATGCCACTTATGGGACCTTTTGTACCAAGAAAAGGAACTACCTCCACCGTACCACCGTCTGCATATCAAACCTTAACTATGCCCAAGTATTAGATCCTTGTACTGGAAATGAAATTGTATAACCTTCATGTGAGGCTGTGACCTGTATGGCGGACTTAGCGGACCAATAATGTATGTAGTAGAAGTATCAAATCTAGTAATTTATGTTTATCCAAAAAACAATCAAAGTATATTTTTAATGGCTTAAATAAAGTCTTCTTCTTTTTTTTCTGTTTTATAACATACCTAAATAAAGTCAACTTCATGTGAAATTGAATAACTAGCTAGTGATTAAGATTTTGTGATTCCAGGGAATAGATTCGAAATGAAGTAAATAACACACTATAGGTTAAGATGTTGTGATTCGTGGAATTATGAGTTATTAAATGAGAAAATGAATAACAATTTGAAATTGGAGAGACTCGAATTCCCGAGAATAGGCTTTTGTTTATTTCTCACCAAACAATTAAGTGAGATCCATAAATTACATAAGTTACGATATCTGCATATTGCTTTGAGGTTACAGATGCTTGGATTATTTTTTTTGGGTCGTGCTGTTGAGCGCCCTAATTTTTTCATTTGAACGCCCGAAAAAGACGTACACACCCCTATAAAATAGAGTTGGTTTGCAAAAAAAAAAAATGTTTGGCGAGGGAGAAATGAGCCACCCCTTTAAGGGGTGGCGAGAAAACCTTCGCCGCATGGCGAAGGTGTGGCGCCCAGAACTGGTTGGCGAGCTTTTTGCTCGCTAACCAAAGGGTGGGTGGCGTCATTTTGTGCGCCACCCACCTTGGGTTTAATTACTTTTTTTTTAATTTTTTAATTTTTATTTTATTTATTTAATTATCTTTAATTTAATTATTTTTAATGTATTTAATTAATTTCTTTTATTTATTTTAATTATTAGTTTAATAAATTTATTTAATTCATGTATTTATTTAATTTATTTAATTCATGTATGTTCTTAATTTATTTATTTATTAAAGTTTATTTATTTGTTTGGTGGTTAAACAAATAATTTTAACTTCAATATTTAGAGAGTGTTACTTAATTATGTAGTAAATTTTTATAAAAATTTATCATTTAGTTATGTAAAATTTTTTAAACTTAAACAAAAAATTATCATTTAATAAAAACTAAAATTATGAATTTACTACCAAACAAATTAATTATTCATCATTGGTGCATCTAGCCGTCCTGGGAATTTTTTTGAAAAAAAATATAAAATTTAAAATACGTTAAAACGAAAAATTAAAAAGGTTGAAAAAAATATAAAATAATTTTATTTATTCATTTAATTTTTTAATATTTTTTAACTGCCAAATAGATAAATAAAAAATAAACTTAAATAAATAAATAATTAATTAATTAAATAAATTAAAAATAGAAAAAATTAAAAAAAAAGTAATTTTGGTTTGGTGCCAAAATCTGGCGCCACCCCCATTTTGGGTGTAATAATATTGGGAGGCGAGAAAATTGTGCGCCACCTTTTAAAGGGTGGCGCATTTCTCCTGCGCCAGCCGTGAAAGGGTGGCGCAGTTCTCCGTCGCTCCCACCTTTTTTTTAAAAAAAAATTATGAATTTAAGGGTAAAATAATCTTTTAAAGATTTTTTAGGGCGTTTAAATGAAAAAATTAGGGCGTTCAGTAGCTTCCCAGTTTTTTTTAGATTTGCATCGAAAAAGTCAGGAAGTATGGGCTGCTTTGTTCATGGATTATATGTGAGTATGGACTAGACTCGTAGAAGTAAACTATTTGCCTTTAGGAGTCTTAACGATCCACACTCCTCAGCAAGCAAACAAACAAAACCTCATCTCAATCAAATGGGTTTGTTAATTTTGTAACAAATTCACTTCCCCTTCACATATTTTTGAGGGTTATTTTTGTATTTGATTGTCTTATCAATAAATTAACGGAATTGGACAAAATTGGGCACAAATAGAAACTCTCCGTGTGAAATTGATTTCTAAAAATTCTTTTCGATTAAATTGACTAGGGAGCAGAAGTTTTAAATCAAATCGACCATTTCCCCCTCAATAAAGATAACCTAAAAACTTGAAAATTTTAATCTTTAAGAAAGAGTTTATGTTCTTTGTTGTTGGTCATATCTGACTTTCCCGGATCGGTCCAATCGGCCCACCAACTTGGGCTGATTTCACGAACTCAACTCGTCTATTTGTTTAATTCTTTTGGGCCCAACCGGTTCACAAAGAATTAACACATATCTATTTACGCTTTTGCCCCTCTTGACAAAAGGGTCCACAGGTATTGTCCCATTGGGGACCTATAAATACTCCTTGATTCATTTATTACAATTTTAATTTTTTTCACACTCTCGCTTTCTCTCTGTAAGTGTGATAATAAATTACTTTTCTCTAGGACTGACTTGACCTTCGGAGTGCTAACCTCCTTTTTACAGGTTCCAGTCTAGGTCAGACCGTGGGCTCCGTTTCCGGGATTCACTCTCGACATTCTTTTTGAGGAAGGAACGATTTTGTTAATTGATCTCAAAAATACATAATTGTGCATTAGAGAATGTTAAAAATACTCCTCCATCCCAAAAAGTGACCCAACCTTCTGTTTTTTTTTTTTTTTTTTTTTTGGTTGGAAAGGAAACAATTTTATTCATTTATTTATTGTTTGGTACAATGCCAGAAGTTATAGACACAATTTTTATTAATTTTGCGGGGAATTATCGACAAAATAGAGGATTTCACTATTTCAGACGCAGAGATAAAAAAAGAAGTGACCGAACTAATTTACAGTACTGAACTGTGAAGACTGGAATTGATGTTTTTGTAATTCTCTGAGAAAGATGGCATAGAATCATCACGCACATGCCCATTGCTGACTCATCCATCTTTCTTCCCACTTTATAGTTTATCCTATTTGACTTATGATTCTTCTTTCTTTTATTATTTGCTTTACGAGATATTTTCCGCACCCATATTTATAAATGAACAGTGCATTCTCCACATAGTTGATAACTACCGGTGATATATAACTGCCGCCGGACGACCGCCGTCGACCGAGTCAATTTAGCCTCCTTCGCCAATCGAATCCATGGAAGAGGACACTTCTAACAACCACCGCCGCCACCGCCAGATCAAAACCCTAGCCAAAGCAGACTCTCTCACCACTACCGACGGCAACACCGTCGCCAATCTCCTGGTTCACTCCTCCGCGGAAGGCGGCGCCGACGTTGAGAAGTCGGAGATGTGGAACGCCTTCAGCGATAATTTCGATCAGGTGCAGGCGGTGTTGGATCGGAACCGGGTCTTGATTCAGCAAGTGAACGACAACCACCAGTCCAAAATGCACGATAATTTGGTCAAAAACGTCTCCCTCATCCAGGAAATCAACGGTAACATTAACAAGGTCGTTTCACTGTATTCCGATCTCTCTGTTAATTTCTCCAGTATGTGCCATCATCAGCGGAATACCCCAATTCAGTCCAAGGATGGAGATGGAAAGCTAATGACAGCTGAAGATGAACAAGAACAGATTAGCTGAATTTTGATATTTCCTCCATCAAATTCTCTTTTGAATTAAAAGAGGAACAAATATTGTAGTTTCAGTGTATGATAATGTATTCCATATTTAATAAGCTCTATCCAATGGGACGCTTTAGACATTCAATGATAATGTAATGCAGATGTTGCACAATATTTCTTTTCCAGCCATATTGGCATCTTTCTTTGAATTTAGAGTCTTCATCTTTTGCTTTTGAATCTACCCTACATTTGGTATCTGTTAGTGCACTTTTGGATGACCAAATGTGCATCAGTACATGAAATTTTAGTTGTAGCACAAGCAAAACTGCAGATTCAAAAACTCTGTGTAACAACAATGGAAAGACCATCAGATTATAAGCCGTATATTGAAGAGCGTTTGATAATTTGTAAACCAGCTGCAATCTTACAACTATTAGTATGCTTGCAAGTAAACACGGATACTGCTCAAAAGTATGTCCAGAACACAGGTGTAGAGATTCTCAGTAAAACAGGAAACAAAAGGTGTACATTGATTTAGTTTACATCTGATCACATGGTTAACTCGCCACTGTCTGTAATCGTCACTTTGCTCCTGGGCATTCCACTCTGCCGACCTTCAGCTTCAATCTTGTGGACAACATCCATTCCAGATATTACCTTGCCAAACACAACGTGACGGCCATCCAACCTGTCAAGGATGTTGGAAAACGCCAACTTCGTTAAGTTTCAGATCTCCGGAGATTACAGAAATGAGTACTAGTAGCAAAAAGGGTATTGTACAATGGAAGGTGACACTTGCATCAAAATCAAATCCTAGCAGTGCCATCTCATCCCATAGCACATTTTTAGGACACAATGTCAGTTGCCCCATCTGCCTCGAACTATCCTCGCTCATTAATATGTTACAACCACCACCAAAGCTTACTCCACTATGTGTGGTCAAGCTTACTCCACTATGTGGGGTCAACTATATGGACCGTATACACTTTTACCATTAGGCGTCTGATAGTTGCTTTTTTAATTTCTAGGGTTAGTGTTACATGTATAAAGTCCTGAGTAGTTACCAGCTGGTTATGACAGTCGTGATGAAAAATTGTGATCCATTAGTATCTGGCCCAGCATTTGCCATAGAGAGAACTCCTGTTCCAGAAAAACAAAACGAAATGGAAATGAAAACAAAAAAGATGAGGCAAACAGAAACACAGTGATGAAGCTAGCCGCTTCAGCTTATTTTATCTTCTCCACTACATCCATAGTTGATAAGATATGTTAAAACAAGACACTTCTTCCACTAAGAGTATGAAGAGTCTTTACCGGGTCCAGTGTGTTTTAGCTTAAAGTTTTCATCAGCAAATCTATCACCATATATTGACTCTCCTCCATGCCCGTCACCAAGGGTGAAATCCCCGCCCTGAATCATAAAGCTGGGAATGATCCGATGAAATGCACTGCCTTTGTAATGTAGAGGTTTCCCGTTTCGTCCAGTCCCTTTCTCACCTGCAAAAGACTCAAATAAGAGATAGTTTCAATGCTCCTTAGATGATCATTAATCCATGCAACATTCAGGTTAAGCTTTCTCCTTTACCACGTGTATTCTAGGCATTATCATCAATAAAGAATCCTAAGTCATCTGAATACTTACACACAGCAAAAACTTGCGACACTGTCAATGTTAATCACATGTTATTCCTCATATACCACTATATATTATGAGAATACTCGTCATTAAAATCCAACAAATAATCAACAGACAGCAACTTATACTCGAATGATTAAAGTCCTTGTTCATAGTAGAATGTAATTGCAGAAGCTGACATTCACATAATCTTCCTACAATCCAAGTCAAATCAAATAATAATTGAGAAAGGAGGAAAGTAAGAGTTACATGGCTACCAGTGCAAAGAGCTCGGAAGTTTTCTGCATCAGAAACATGAAAGAAACTGTTAAGTCTCTATCACGGAAATAATAAAGCAGTGGGCAACAGATGGAAAGCAACATCGAAAAACCATATTTAAGGTAGTACCTACGGTTATGGGGACAACTTTTCCAAATAGGCCAATGGTAATACGACCTGAAAGGAAAAGAGAGCATGATATAGACTTCGCTCAAAGAAAACCTTTTGCCACGGACATAAAGATTTATAAAAGAGGGCATTGGTTAAGTATAAACAGCAGAACATATGTCCATATCTGAAAAGCGTTCAGATCAGCACTAACATTAGCTTTTAGTCTGAATACTAGGCGTTAAGTTCTGGATCTGAGCTTGTAATAATCATCAAAGTTCTTCCTCTAGTATCATATGACAACTAACTAGACAGAAATACTTGTACTTATTGCTTGATTAACGATGAAGGAAACATCATTAATGAACGCCAATAAGATCTACATGCTAAGGGGTGAAAACCATTCACTCCTCAAATCTATTTTATACAATCTGGAACCCCTCTGTTGCTTTTGACCACATCCATAGAAAGCATAAAACTTTGAAGCCAGAAAATAGCAGAAAACTTGCAAATTTTACTATGCTTCACTTATCAAATACCCTTATTTCCAAGTACAAGAAATGATCAAGTTCAGAAGTCCACAACACAAACAGTTAAACATTTTGTTAGCTACATTAAACAGTGACAGTTTAAATCGAGGAGTAAGCACATACCAGCTGGTTTTCCATTGATCTCGACATCAAAGTAAACTTTGTGAGTCACTTCTTCTCCATCCTCTACATGGTTAGCCTAAAATAACAACATTTCAGCCACCGTACTGACTAGTGACATTGATTTTACAAATAAAAGATTCAATTTTGCAAATAAGTATGGTTGGCTCGAGTTGATGTACCTCTTCCTTAAGCACGCTAGGGTCCGATGAGACTCCGGGTTCGCTTAATCGGTTCTGAAAATGAATTTGATGGACTCGTTAGTTGAAAGAACAAAGAAATTTGGGTTCCAAACAGAGGATAGTAGTGATAGTTAGTCTAATATAGTCTGATATATATGTGGAGAGGAAGAACTGACAAGAATGATAGCAAGACTTCCGAATAGAACCAGAGCCCACATGAGAACGGCCGGAATGATCTTGTTCGTGTTCATATCTCCGATCTTCTCCCGGCCGGCGGAGCAAATTTTGTCTGGTGGATCTTGGCTTAACGACAAAAAAAGGATTCCAAGCCCATATAGCATATTATGTACATATTTAGAGCAAGGTAAAAATATAATGCATAAAAGATAGTTCAATTGGTAGTTTATCCCAATTTTAGTGGGAAACTATTCATTTTATCAAATTGGTACACTGATTTAGTATTTTCATTTAAATGCAAACATCATACTAAAACATCAAATTTAGTGTTTATGTGTCTTGGTTGGAGTTGTGCTAACCTCTCTGTGCTTTTTGGGAGTTAATTAACAAAATCACAATAGCTTTATAATCTTGACGTTCCAAAAGGAAAAAAAAAAAAAAAATTACCGGACCAAATCGTTATTCCTATACTAATAGATTACTAAAATTGGGTTGAAAAATAGAAATCAAACCCAAAAAGTAAAATAAAATCCATACTTAAAAACATATCCACCATACTCAAAAAGTAAATTCAACGTTTCAAGTTTCAAATCTTTTTTTCTCCGAAAAAAAAAAAGTTCCAAATATTTCATGATGGAAAGGTGGAATGGTTTACTGATATATATACTCCCTCCGTCCTATAATTATTGTCTAAGTGAAATTTCAAACTGGACAATAATTTTGGGACAAAAGGAATAATATTTTTGAACCGAAGAATATTTTATCAATAGTCTCTCCGTCTCGAATGCTTTTTATTTTATGTGAAGTTTCTGTTACTAATATTTTTCCATAAATTGTTGGCCATTTTTTTAAAGTTGCAAATCTCCGATGTTTTAATGAATACGTGGGCAAAATGCAGTTACATTACGATTCTAAAAAAATACATAGTATAAGTCCGAGTGTGTTTGACCCTCAGTTCTTCTTACCTTTTGGTAACTCACCTAACCCGAATAGTTATTAGTAGTTATTACGGCTAATAAAGGAATATTGTCAAACCACAACAACAGCACTGGCAAAAGATATCTTAATCAAAATCCAATTTCATCTTCAACATGGGAAAAAAAAAGAAAAAGAAAAAGAAAAAAAAGAGGAATCAGGGTGCGTTAATACTAAATTAATTAATGAAAAACACATTGGGTGAAAATTTTGTTTGTTTCATTTTTTCTATGATTTTTTCATAATAATATATAATAATAACTGTCTCATCTTAATATATATTTTTATATTTTCAATACACTTTTTTATATTCTTACTAATACAAAAAACATATAAAAATACCCACTAAAAAACGAAATAAACATAGCTCACATTCTTCTAACAAACACCCACTTGCTAACTAAAAAAAAAGAAAGAAAAAAGAAGTAAATAAAGAAATAGTTAAGTGGAAGAAAAATATAGTGAAGTGAATGTCTAAACTGGGGGACTTCGTGGACTACTATAATCCTACCCGAATCAATCCGGTCGGAAGTTTCACCCGCCTCGATATTCCCAAAACCCTCGTCTTCTCCACTCTAATTGCCGCGCCTTCTCACTATAATATTACTCTTCTTTTGTTTATTTTTGGCCCCCTTTCCCCTCAACTCGGCGTGCCCAACCGATCGTACGTAAGACGGAACTTCCTTCTACTCCTCCCACCGCCACGCGCCGCCTCATTTCTTACTCTCAACCGACGGCGATTCTTTCTTCTCACTACTCCCTGAGGTAGGTAGGTGTCCTCTGTAAAAACTCTGCTACTGATTTTCCCCCCTTCTGTTAAATTTCTTTCCTTTTTTTTTTGCCTCGTTTTTTCTGCTTCTGTATGTGAAACGGAATTCGATTATGTATATATTTGTTACATTTTATGTTTTATGGATTTTGGGTTTTTGAGGGTTGAGGGTTTTTGGTGGCTGTTTCTCCGTGTGTCTATAAAGGGTGAACAGTTAAAGATCATGATGTCTCGCCACACTCGTCAGTCCCTTTTGATGGTTCCCACAACCAGAGGAAAGCGAAGTAAGCTTATGACTATTACGGTTGGCAAGTTTTACCAGATTGTTCATGCTAATTTACCTCCCAGAACTCCTCCTTGGCTGAGGGCCATTCGTGTTGTCATGGTAAGAAAGCTTTCTGAACCGTTGTTATCACGTTTAGGGTTTTTGTTCTTGTTTAGGATTTTTAAGTGAAATTGTCATTGGTTTTGAATGGGTTTTCAGGTCTCTGACAAGAACAAATTGAAGGTCACTGTTAAGTATCCTAGCCAGGCCGCCATAGATAGTTGGTCTAGTTCTCAGGATAAAGCCTGCTCCAACCCTGAGCTTGATCTGTGTTTCATTATGGGATACAAGCTTGCCCAGAGGGTGCTTTTTGCTGATGTCAATGTGCCAAAATTCAATAGTGTGGAAGAAATTAAGGGCTTTTGGTTGGTTAAGTCTCCTAAGCTTGAAATCGAAGATGTTCCTTTGAGGACTCTGCGTTCTGCGATGAAGCGTGATGCTAAAAAAGAAGAGATACAAAGTGAAGTTCCTAAGCTGGCAATTGTTAAAGTTGAGAATATAGTTAAAGAAGAGATTGGAGGTGATGAACCTGAGGCAGATGATGCTACTCCTAAGATGAAGAAGTATAAGTGGTGGTCGAATGACAGGTAAAGTTGTTTCTTTTCTATCTTCTTTGTTTTTCTTTTTGCCAAACTTTAGGAGCTTTTGGCTTTGTATTTTCTTGTTTGTATACTTTTCCTGTATGTTCTGACTGTGGAGAGGGTGTTTCTGAAGCTTCGATGTGGGCAAGAAAGTCATTTTGAGGATTTTGAAGGAGAAGAAAGCTGGAGCAGACAACCCAATTTACAGAGCTGCTTTAAGGAGGGAGGCACAGAAGGAGATTGGTAATACTGGGCTGTTGGATCACCTTCTTAAGGACATTCCGGGCAAGATAGCACCTGATGGGGCTTCCCGTTTTCAACGTTGCTACAATGCTGATGGTGTGATAATGTACTGGCTTGAAAATGCTGATTTGGTTGACCTCCGGAAAAAGGCTGGCGTGGCTGATCCTTTTTGGATTCCACCACCTGGTTGGAAAGTTGGGTCTTGCTCCTCAGGGTGTCCCTGTTCCAAGGAGTTGGAGCAACTTAAGGAAGAATTTTCACAAGTGAAAAGGTACAAAGATGGGAAAGTTATCAACTTTACTGCTGTGCTGCAGTTGACATGCATTTCAATTGACCTGCTATAAAAACCATTTCATCCCGTCGACGTAGTTGTCTATTCTTTCTGTTCTTTGTATGCATCTTTGCATGCCTTACCTTGAAGCAAATAATCATACCAAGCAAATAATTTTATTCATCTTGGCGAGATTCAGTATGTACAGTTGTGATTTACTTTAACATCATATCCTTCATCATACCAAGCAAATAATTTTTTTTACTCATATGATCTTTTTGTTGGATTAGATGTTTTCTACGTTTTACATTCCATCTTGCATCCACCCAGCTTTTGCTTTCAACATTGAAATTCAAGGATCCTTTTGTCCGAAGCCAACTTGTCTGCTGTGTGCTTAGTGCATGACCTAGTTAGGCGAGTTCTGCAGTTGGTGATACTTATTAAAAGTTTTTTGTCATTACATGTGCTGCCTGAGTGCCTGAGTTCCACATAAAATATCTTAGTTCAATGAAGTGTTGGAGAATTTTACATGCCAGGTTATCACTATGAATATTGCTAGAATTTGCTGTTGGAGGATATCTTTGGCACTTGTATTTTTGTTAAGTGGATTTCTGGAATTGTTGCTATTATTGTTTTCTTGTAACTGGGAGCTCTTGATCCTGGAAGGTCTCACTTAGTAACTTCATTTTTCTCTGCCTTTATTTCTGGTGATACGAGGAAGCTTTTCTTTTTTTATACTTGGTGTCTGTATTCTGATTCGGAAGTTGTCTATCTATGTTGGCGAGAATCATGCAATTTTATATGCGACAGTTGGTGCCTCTTTACACTTTAATGTTGGCTTGTATTCTTCATTTATAGAGATTTGGAAGAGACACAGAAGCAATTGACAGAGGTTCGTGCTGCTAATAATGAAGTTAGGAGGTAAGACACAAGTTTTTACTTGCTCAGCAATTTTGGCATGTTTGGAAATTAATACTTTCTTTTCCAGAGTTGTGATCTTCAGTGTTTTATCATGAAATGAGTGAAACTTGTCAATGTGTGTATCTACCTTGGTGGACAATCATGTCAAAATAATACGTGACGCCCCCTCTTCCAGTTGCACTTTAATGTGGTTTTGTATTCCTTCATTTACAGAGATTTGGAAGAGACGCAAAAGCAGTTGACAGAAGTTCGTGCTGTTAATACGGAAGTTAGGAGGTAAGATGGAAGCTTTCACTTGCTCAGCATTGTTGGCATGTTTAAAAATCAGTGCTTTCTTTCTGAGTTCTCAATCTTCATTTTTCACCATGAAGTCCTTGCTCGTGTAACATTTACATGCATTTCTTCTTTTTTAGTGCACGTGTTTCCCTAAGTGACGATGCCAATGAAATTGACATTGACTTTTGCATTGCAGATGTTCTGATTGTGATAACTGGGTAGGCGGTTTCTGGTAAGTCGGATTGTGCCAGTTTTTTTAGAAAATTGGCGCTTCCTAGAAAAATAGTGCAGGTCCCTGACCTTATTCTCGTGAAAGAGAAAGTATTAGAAATTTTGTATAGAGATGGTTTTAATGTTTCTGTAAAGCGGCTTTTTGAATATGCTGTACGGTTATACTGGTTATACATGTAAGATACAGAGAATCTCATCCGTGCAACAAGTTCCAGACTTCATGTCCTGAACAAGTTTAATGAAAATACTAGTGTTATTCTAGGAAAGATACTTGGGTCGAGATCCGTTTTCTCTTTGAAGCTGTCGGCATGGGAAACCATCTTAGATTAGATCTTCCGTTGATGAATGAAGATATGGTTTCCTAGATTGGAAGAAGATAGCTGTTAAAACTTATGGAGTAAAACTTTCAGCTTGTTGGCATTTATAGAATTCAGCTTGTCGGCACTTATTTCGCAGGAAACAGTGAATAGCTGGCCTTGTATTTGAAGGTTCTTATCCCAGTACTTAGGAATTATTTACCTTGGATTAGAGGCAAACTGCCAGATCCCCATATGAATTCAAAGTTATTCTACTTCTCTGTTCCATAATGTCCCCAATTTTTATTTTTTATTTTTTTCTGAAGTGTAGCTTAAAACATTAAAACGGCAGTTTCTGGAACTGAATTAGATGACTCCATAACAAGGTAACCTTACCCCCTCCCTGTAAGATCTTTTTACTGTCTGTCCATGTTATTTGCTTCACAATGAGTTAGAACTTTTGATGTCTGTACATGGAGAGCTGGGGATTGTGATGGCGCCGGAGTTGTAGCCTTCTTAACACTAACAGTCCTCCAATCATATGGTTGAGACGGTGTGATTTGTTGACCGTTGACATTGCATTATTGAAGAGTTTTTTTCTTTGTTTTGAAAACCCATTCTCAAAGTCAAATAGTTCTTAAGTCTGAAAGCGGTGATTGTCGAAGAAATATCTTTGTTATCCCCCACTAAAATATTTCTCATGTACACGGATTTCTTCTTCGAGTATCCAAGCCAGTTGTTTATCCAACATTAATATAAGATGCGGAAGCATCTCTTCAGCTGCATCACGTGCTCCTGTTATTTAAACTACTGTTATAACAAAGTCCTCTCATTTTCTCATCTGAAAAGAGACTATATTAGGTTCATGGGAAAACTTGTTCACTTTCAGGTGATTTACCTGTTTCATTATCTTGTGATCTTTTCTGCATTCCTCAAACAAACACAAAGTTTCTGCACCGCCCAAAATAGACTCCTCTTGTTCCAATTCAAGCAAAGTATTAACGTTCACAACACAGCTTCATCAGGCTGTGAATCCAATGGCATCCCTTCTTATCCCACGACTGAGTTTTGGAACACAAGTTCAGATTGTTGCACGTGGGATGGAGTAACATGTGACCAAGTCTCCGGCGAAGTTATCGGTCTGGATCTCAGTTGCAGCCAGCTTCAGGGGAAGATGGGCTCCAATAGCTCCATTTTCAAACTCTCTTCCTTGCAAAGCCTCAATCTTGCTTACAACGATTTCTCTTCTTCTGGGATTTCTAGGAATTTCTCAAGGCTCGGAAGTTTGAGGCATCTTAACCTCTCCAGCTCTGGATTCTCAGGTTCACTTCCATCTGATTTTTTGAGCATGTTTAATCTAGTTTCACTCGACCTTTCATTATCTGATGGACTCACAATTCAACCTCGTACTTTTAAAATGCTTCTTCAAAACTCAACCCGATTAAGAGAAGTTTTACTTACGGGTGTTAATATTCCTTCCGTGATTCCACATAATCTATCTAATTCCTTAACCATTTTGAATCTTGGGGGAACTAACCTATACGGGAACTGCCCAGAAGAAATCTTCACTCTACCAAACCTGCAAATTCTCCAACTTTATAGCAATTATGATCTCACTGGTCATTTATGGAAGGTGAAATGGAATGCCAGTAGTCAGCTGAGCTATATTGACATTTCTAGTTCTGGTTTTTCTGGGGAGATACCGGAATCCATTGGATATCTGCATTCTTTGAACTATTTAGAAATCTCCAGCTGCAAGTTTTCTGGGTCCATTCCTGAATCTCTTGGAAATTTAACACAAATGACTCACCTGGATCTCAATTCCAACAACTTCTCTGGGAAGGTACCATCTAGCCTTTCAAACCTTCAGCAACTCACATTCTTGGATCTTTCGACTAATAGTCTCGAAGGCCGGTTGCCCGACTTTTTCAGCAATTTCAGAAACTTGGCTTATTTAATGCTAAATGATAACCTTTTCACTGGAGAATTCCCCTCCTCAATAACCAACCTCACAGAGCTTACTAGTTTAGACCTGTCCAACAGTTCGCTTACCGGCCCTTTGCCTTCTGACATTAGTGGATTCCCTAACCTAGCTTTGCTGTTTTTAAAGGACAACTCATTTAATGGTATATTACCGCCCTGGATATTCAGCCTGCCTTCATTAAAATTCTTAGACCTCCAATCCAATGAACTTACTGGCCATCTCTATGAGTTTCAGTATCAGTCAATTCAAAGAATTTATCTTAGTGGAAATAAGTTGCATGGTCCAATTCCAAAATCGATTTCAAAGCTTGTGAATTTGACTTATCTTGATTTGTCATCAAACTTATTCAGTGGTCCAGTGGATGTCAGCTTGTTTTCTAAACTGCAACCGCTTCAATTTCTTAGTCTTTCTAACAACAGCCTTGTCCTAACCAGAGATAGAATGAATGCTACCTTCCCTGATTCCCTCACTTCTTTGTATTTGTCATCCTGTGGTTTAAAAGATATAGAACCCCTAGCAGCAGCAAGTAATCTATATCGACTAGATGTTTCTCGTAACATGATTCGAGGACGAGCATTTTCCGACAAGATATGGTACATGTGGGCTGAAACTTTGATCTCTCTGGACATTTCTCACAACTTTCTGACCCAGATGAATCAACTGCCATTCACAAATCTCTTCTTTCTTGATCTTAGTCACAACTTGTTTCAAGGGTCAATGCTCATTCCACCCATCACAACAAGGCTGTTCTTTGCTTCAAATAATAATTTCAGTGGAAAAATCCATCCTTCAGTTTGCAAATTAAGTATTCTAATGGTTCTAGATATCTCTGAAAACAACTTCAGCGGTGCCATTCCTGAATGTCTGGCAAACGTCAGCGAAGGTCTTTACGTGCTGGACATGCACAGCAACCGCTTTTCTGGAAGAATTCCATCAAATTTTGCAGTTGGAAGCAATCTGAGAACGCTGAAATTGCACAACAATCAGTTGGAAGGATCATTGCCTCGATCGTTGTCCAGGTGCAGAGAATTGGAGGTACTTGATGTTGGATACAACAATTTGAATGGTACATTTCCCACCTGGTTAGGAACACTTCCTAAACTGAAGGTTCTTAGCTTGAGGGCTAACAATATGCATGGCCCGGTAAATTCATCCAGAGCTCCGGACTCATTCTCCACTCTAAGAATCCTGGATCTTTCCAATAATGCATTCGCTGGAATTTTGCCAGAGAAAATGTTTCAAAAACTTGGAGCAATGAAGAGGGAAGATGAAACATCGCAGCCTTTGACATACATCGGAGATGAAACTTATCAAGATTCCGTCAAGGTCATAATCAAAGGGCTGGACATTAATTTTGAGAGAATTCTCTCCATATTTACAACAATGGACTTCTCCATCAACAACTTCACAGGGAAAATCCCAGATGCCATTGGAGATTTAGTTGCACTTCGAGGACTAAATCTTTCACACAACGATCTTTCAGGTCCAATACCACAAGTTTTGGGGAACTTAAAGGTTCTTGAATCCTTGGACCTGTCTTTAAACCAACTTCAGGGCCAGATTCCTCAGCAGCTTACAAATTTACCGTATCTCTCTGCTTTCAATGTCTCTTATAACCACCTTCAGGGCAGCATACCTCGAGGCCAGCAATTCAATACTTTCGAAAACAGTTCATATTTAGGGAACCCCGGGTTGTGTGGATTTCCATTATCAAACACTTGTGGCGCTAATGATCAGTTGCCTAAATCGCGACCACGGGTTGAAGAAGATGAGGAATTTTTCAACGGGTTTACTTGGAAAGCTGTGATGATTGGTTATGGATGCGGAATGGTGATTGGATTTTTAATAGGATGCTTGATATTTATCACCGGAAAACCTGAATGGTTCAACGAATTTGTCCAAGAAGAAAGTTCCAGGTTTGTTAAAAAGAAATGGAGCAAGCAGGCCAAAGTATTGTAAATATTTTACTGCTTAGGTTCTTCGATTGAAGTTTTGTTTGCTTCACAACGTCATAATCAGATAGATTCAATTTTCTACGCTTTCGTTCAATTAGTAAGCATAGTGACAAGATGCCACAGGTTAAGAAATTTTAATGGCTTCATATGATTCTTATTTCCAAATGTCCACTGCCAATGATTTAGATGCTGATTTTTCAACTGCAATGATAGAGCTGATCTGAAGTAGGTCACCTGCTGTTAATTTCATTCAGCAAGACAAATTCGGCCTACGCCTGATAGATCTTAGATGTTTGGTCGTTTTCTAAACTCTGAAAATGATAATCTACCAGCTAAACTTGAGCTGTAAAGGATTGTAAAGATGGTCAGTATATTTTAGTAACCGAGGGAAGCTTTGTAAAAAAATCAGCACTGCTGTAATGACACATTTTCCGTTAATTGCAATATGATATGTTTGGATGGCAGTGGAATTCACTATTCCACAATTCCAACAAAGAAGAGTCAAATTTTGAGTAATAATATCAACAAGCATACCGGACAAACCCCCAGATGTAGTTTGTTAACAGTATTTAAACGGTGAACATATAAACTTCATTCATAAAGCCCCTCTACAAGGCACAATCCATATGGCTTCAAGCTATTATCAGATGTGTCGATTTTCGATTTTCCTCTCTGCGTTCACGCTGTTTTTGAGTCAATATGCATCAGTTACCACTTCTATACATCCGTTTTATTGCAATCCAAATGTCCTTCAGTGCTCTTCTTACCTTTACCAGCACAATAATCTAACACAAGAACAAATAAGTGCTTATTACTCTGTCCCCTCCTCAGAAATCCAGCCAGTCCATTTCGCCAACAGCAGCTACCTCGTAAAAGTTCCTTGTTCTTGCCAAGATGTTAACGGCACAGTCGGATACTTTTATGACGCCATCTACACTGTGCAGCAAAATGACACATTTACAAGTGTTTCGGATAATATTTACAGTGGACAGGCCTGGAAAGTTGGTGGAGAAGAAAGAAGCTATGTACCAGGACTCAATGTCACCATAAATCTCCTTTGTGGATGTCTGGAAAGTGATGAGTTTGTGAGTGTGGTAACTTATACAGTTGTTCACTCTGATACTTTGGCAGAAATTGCTGAGAAGCTATCTTCTGATGTTGATAGCATCCTGAGATTCAATCCTTATATTGCACCACACCCCTCATATCTTCAAGTTAATTGGTTATTATATGTCCCTCTGCTGAAAAATGGAGTTCTAATTCTCTAAACCCTGGCAAAATGGGTTAAAAAACTGAAGATCTAATTCTCTACATCACTGCAGCAGGCTGATAATATTAAAAACTTTAAGGTCAATTTGTAACATTAAAGATTTATTCTTCCGCCATTACGAAGGACATTGTGCTTTTTGACCTGGTAAATTATGCTAGGATCGAATTTATACCACAAAGGATCGATGGATGCTATAATATAATGAATCAAAGAAAATAGTACAAATCTAAAATCTCAATGTAAATTATTTTTTTCGGGATAGGGGGAGTATAACATAATGAATGGCTAATTGATTCCTGCGACAACGACTCCTGTTAATTGTTTAATTTGGCATCCTAGGTTTGCTCAGTATTTTTTTTTGCCTTACAAACTACCTAGTTATAAGCTATTCCAGGTCACTAACATTGGCGTTTACCTTTTACCATTCCTTCTTTTGCTTCATCGATTCCGCATATACATTCCACCTGCCTTTGTTATGACGTCTAATTACAACATTTGAAACAGCTAGATGGGATGAAGATTTGAACAGAATCAGAATGAGACTGTAAAATATTCATATAGAGTATTTTATCATTCTTTAGATTCTGGGGTAGTAGTCAATTTTCAGCTTCATCTTGTAGAGGGACTTCAAAGTTCAACCTGACTCAGATAGATTAATCGAATTTCAAACGAATGTTACGCTAAGGGGGAGTATGTGTGTGTGTGTGTACATCACCGAAATTGACATGGACATTGTACCTTTGGTGACTACTGTCCTGAGAAACATTCATACATGCACGTATATAAAATAACTATATCAAAGTTTACAAAGCAAAAATTGCAAAATGCCTGAAGAATACAAAAACCACTACTGTAGTCTATTAGCTCCATACATTTGATCCTTCTTTTTTATAATTGCAAATTTTCATGCGGGCCTCATGAATCGGCGAAAACACCGCTCATGGTCAATGCTCAGACCTTGAATGATTCCACTCATCTAGCAATCTTCCTTTGCTCAGGTACTTATCAGCTTCTGAGCATTACAAACTATATATTGGACATGTGTTTACTGCAATGTATTCTCAATTTTACCAAGAACCTGAGCAATTTTGATACTGATTTAGAGCTTGGAACCATGGGAAAATTTGCTGGGTTCTTTTTGTTCATTTTCCACTATCAGATCCTTGTTTTTTCACATATCACCATGGCGCGCAATTTGTGTCCAATGGATCAGAGCCTCGATCTATGGATGTTCAAGGAAAGTTTCAACATAGACGCCTATGCTTCCTTCGACTGTGATATCATAAATGTGCCCTCTTTTCCTAAGGTGAATTCCTGGAACATAATCACAGATTGCTGTACTTGGGATGGAGTTCCTTGTGACAGATTCACCGGCCAAGTTATTGGCCTGGATCTTAGCTGCAGCCAGCTTCAAGGAGTATTGGACTCTAACAGCACGCTCTTCCAATTTTTTCATCTCAAAAGCCTCAATCTTGCTTACAATGACTTCTCCTTGTCCTTGATTTCCAGCAACTTTTCAGGGCTTCAAAGTCTGAAGCACCTCAATCTCTCCAGCTCTGGATTCTCTGGTCTATTTCCTTCAGAATTCTCGCGCCTGGTCAATTTAATCTCCCTTGATATCTCAGCTAATGGAGACATTATAATTCTACCTCACATGTTCAATTGCTCCTTGAAAACTTGACTCAACTAAGAGAAGTTTCTTTTACTGGCATCAACATTGGATCAGTAGTGTCGCGTAATATATCTGTTTCCTTAGAAGTTCTGAATCTCGGGGGCACGAACTTGTTAGCCAAATTGCCACTTGAAATTCTTCGACTGCCAAATTTGCAGATGCTTCAGCTGAATTACAATGTTAACCTCACTGGCAATTTCATGGGGTTGGAATGGAATACTAGTATTGCACTGAGCTATGTCGACTTGTCTGGCACTAGTCTTTCTGGAGAACTACATGAATCTATTGGATATTTGAAACCATTGTACCATTTAGACCTATCTTTCTGCAAATTTTCAGGATCCATTCCTGAATGTTTTGGAAATCTAACACAAATGAATTCCCTGATTCTCCACTCCAACAACTTCAGTGGACATGTGCCATCCAGTCTTGCAAATCTTGACCAGCTCAATACCTTAGTCCTTTTGGGCAATAGTTTTGGAGGCCAGGTACCCGACTTTTTCAGCAACTTCAAAAACCTGGTCCATTTAAGTCTCAGTAATAACCTATTTGAAGGATATTTCCCATCCTCAACCATCAATCTTACAAGACTTGAGAGTTTCTACTTGTCAAACAATTTATTGACAGGTTCTCTTCCCCCAAACATCAGTGGATTCTCGACCCTGAAATATCTAGTCTTGGGAGAGAACTAATTCAACAGTACAATTCCATCTTGGGTATACAACTTGCCATCATTGACTTATTTATTCATTAGTAATAATCGGTTCACTGGCCAAGTCCACGAGTTCCAGTACCAGATACTGCAAGAACTTAACCTGAATGGCAATAAGCTGCATGGAACCATTCCAAAGCCGATTTCAGGACTCGTGAACCTGACTTACCTCGATTTATCATATAACAACTTCAGCGGTGATGTAGAGATTAGCTTTTTCTCAAATTTACAACAACTCACCAATCTTCGCCCTTCTTTCAATAACCTTACCCTCATCAATAACCAATTCAATTCTACTTTGCCGCCTTCTCTCGATACTTTGTTACTATCCTCTTGTGGTGTAAGAGATTTAGATTTCTTAGAAGGTACCAATGACCTGGATACGCTGGATCTTTCTAACAACATGCTTTCAGGTGAGATATTTACAGATGAAAAATGGAAATCTTGGGCTCCGCTTTTGTCTAACTTAAACCTCTCCAATAACTTCATATCTGGCATCCATCATCTTCCTTTCCAAGACTTGGCTTTTCTTGACATCCGTTCAAACTGTCTTAGTGGTCCATTGATTCTGCCATCTACCAGAACAGAATATTTCTTTGCTTCCGATAACAATTTCAGTGGACAAATCCCTTCATCCATCTGCAACTTTTCTTCCCTTGTACTACTCGATTTGTCTAATGACAACTTGAGTGGTATTATTCCTCAGTGTTTGGGGAACATGACTATACACATTTCAGTGAAGATTTGCATGATAACTCGCTAGAAGGAACAATCCCTGAATCTTTGCCCAATTGCAAAGAATTAGAATTGGTCGATCTTGGAAACAACAAGCTGAATAATACATTTCCTTGGTGGCTGAAAAATCTTCCCAAACTTCAAGTTCTAAGCTTGAGAGCTAACCATTTGGGCGGCCCTCTAAGCATTTCCAGAACTGGAACATTGTCCTTCCCTGCTTTGAGAATCCTTGATCTTTCTCGGAACGAATTTACTTTTGGCAGAACTCGTTGCTATGAAGACAGTGAATCGAATCATACAACCTTCGATGTTTAAGGACTTAAAAAAGTTAGGATTTTATTATCAAGATTCCCTGACTGTGATCATAAAAGGGCAAGAGATTGAGGTTGTGAGAGTTCTTTCCATCTTAACAACTATAGATCTTTCCAGCAACAAACTTGAAGGGTCCATTCCAGATATTCACTTCAGGGATTGAACTTTTCCCATAATATGTTTGGAGGTCAAATCCCAATAACGCTAGGAAAGTTAATTTCTTTGGAATTCTTGGACTTATCCTCAAATCAAATCGAAGGAGGAATTCCTCCCCAACTCACAGCATTGACATTATCTTTCAGTTTTGAACCTCTCTTCAAACCATCTAGAAGGCAGAATCCGATTGGGCAATCAGTTCAACACACTTCAGAATACTTCATACTTGGAAAATGATGGACTCTGTGGATTCCCATTGTCAAAAACTTGTTGTAATGATGGTAAGTTGTTTCCGCCAAAAAGTTCGATTCCGAACTCAGATGAGGAAGAAAATGAAGGATTCATTGATGGGTTCAGTTGGAAAGCTGGAAGCGGGATTGTGATCGGAATGAGTATGGGAGGCCTGAGTTTCATCTCCAGGAAACCTAAATGGTTCAACAAATTTGCAGAGGAAGAATCTCGTAGATTATTCATTAAAAAGAAATGGCCCAAAGAGGTCAAATGGCTATCTCCCAAATAAAGCACCGGCCCAACAGAAAAATATTAGACCAATTATTTTTCTGGTAAGTCATGAACAAAAAGATTCATTAGATTTTACAAAGATGAAATTTCTCAAAATATAGCACTTAAATAAATCAAATGTTGCTCAAAAAATGTAAAAATGTCCAGAGTCGTTTTATTGCATTGCATTATTAATTAACCGTTTAAAGTCTTTAAGAATTTCGAATATAAAGTCTTCGTCTTCGAAGCCGTTGACATCCAGCACCAGCACCACGTAATGCTGTTGACATTGAGCAATTATGTAAATTGGAAAATGATATGTACACCGAAAAAAAGACAGTGAGTGATATGGACTATTATTGGCCTCAAATTTTTTGACACATTCCCGTTAAAGTTTTTATTTTTCACTAAAAATTATATTTTTACTTTTAATTAATAGGTATACATATTTGGGCAGAATGGTGTATTTGTCTTTTCATTAGTCATTATTCAATTTCACTATAATTTGTCAATGTCTCTATCTTTGCTCAATGTAAATTCTTCCCCAGAGTTACTAATTAAAGGCCAACGAGTTGTTCTTAATTTTCTCTCTTTCTCGTCAGAAACGTCCTTGTTTAGTGTTTATATTTTCCTCCTTTTTACTATAATTGTAGACTGAGTTCTCGCCAAACAAGCTACATTATTTGCGTGCTTGTGGGATATTTATTTTTTCCTTAAACCATTTTTATTGACAAACCCGCAACATTAATCCAAAATTTAATACCATGAAAAGAAAAAATAAAAATCGGGAGTTAGATTACTCATTGAAGAATGAAAATACAAAAATAAGAATAAAAGGGTTGTACAGTAAAACAGTAATACCAGAAGAGCGAATGAATCTGATACCAAAATGAACTTTTGCAAAAACGCCTAAAAACAATACCAGACAAATAAGACGTTAAAATAATTAGAAAATATAAAAATAATTTAAAAAAAAAGGCGGGAAGAGAGATGAAGTCGGCAATGCTGGTACTGGTAAGAAGAGCCAATGAGAAGAAGATTTCAGAAAGATCCAAAAAAGAACACACAAATAAAGGGAGCCAAACCAAGTAATTTGTCATATTACTTTGTTAAAAACCAATCAGCTTTCAATACTCCTATTATTTAGCTTCTCTCTTTTTCTTTTTCCTTTTTTTTTTTTTTTCCTTCTTTCCTTAACCCAGTCGTTTCATTTTTTTTCTTGATCAATAATCAAAAATAATTTCTGGGCATTTTCCTATCTCTTCTTTTTCTTTTTCTTTTTCTTTTTTTTGGGTTTGTGTTTATGGGGGTTCTAAACAAGATTAAATATTTAGTATTACAAAAATCAACTCAGTCCCAAGAATCGTTCAAACCAATTAGTAGTGATAATAATACAATTATAGGAGTATTTAATTATTCATTTCCTTTTCTCCAGACCTGACTATCTAGATCATAAATAATAAATGTATATAATGGTGGACACGGTGTTGGGTTTCAGAGGAAAAGAGGAAACGTCGTGATTAGCATTTTTCTTAATTATCGATATTATTACTTACACAGGTGGAAATCGGGGAAAAGGAAATGGGTAGTTACAATTATTACAAAATGTTCGGGTGTTTTAATCGGAAGTTTAAGATCAGCGAGTCGGAGCCACCGCCGGACGTGATGAATGCGTTCCGGAGGTACTCGGAGGGCGGGGCCCACATGTCGGCCGATCAGTTTGCCCGGTTCCTGGTGGAATACCAGGGGGAGGAAGGTTGCACCGTGGCTGACGCGGATAGGATAATGCATGAGGTCATCCAACGCCGGCATCATCTCACCAAGTATACTCGCCGGGGCCTCTCTCTTGAGGATTTCTTCTATTACTTGTTCCAGGATGATCTTAATCCTCCTCTCCCTTCTCAGGTCTTTTTTTTTCTCCTTTTTTCCCTTTGTCATTTTTTTCTTTCTTTCTTTCTTTCTTTCCATTTGATTACGAATAGTACCTGAATTAGTGAATTTGTGGGTTGGATAGTTACTCTAATTGATCAATAGTTAAAAAAAAATTAGGTTTAATCAGGATTATTGTCGAGGTTTGCAATTTGAGTGGCTGTTTTATGGAGCTTGCTTGATGGGCTGAAATTATGAACTTAGTTCCTGATTTCTCTGTAATTTTTTTAAGACTCAAGACTTTCTGACAAATGGAATTCAGAGTTTAGATAACTGAGAGCATCGGGAAAGTCGTAGATAACAAATTTTGACCTGCTCAAAGTTGTAGTTATATATGCAGAGGCGAAGATTAGAGATGCAAGGTGATAGTATTTGTTTTGATTGTTGAGTTGATCAACAGATAGTTGTTGAGTTGATCAATTACCTGGCTGAACTGCCCAAATGTGTTTTTTGAGTTTCTGTGATCAAATATGTTCGTGCTGAACAACTTGAACGAGTGGAGATCTCATAATACTTACATATTTGAATGGTTTTATTATTATCTCAGGTTCATCATGATATGACTGCTCCGTTGCAACATTATTTCATATATACGGGCCACAATTCCTACTTAACTGGGAACCAGTTGAGCAGTGATTGTAGTGAAATCCCAATTATAAAAGCCTTAGAAAGGGGTGTAAGGGGGATTGAATTAGACTTGTGGCCAAACTCAGCAAAAGATAATGTCCACGTTCTTCATGGAAGGTATTCTACATTCTCTCAACTTGGTTTCATGCTACACTCAGCTTAAGTCTGTGATATTCGTTATGCTTCCTTCGGCCTATCTACAAGGAACTATTTTCAACTAATTATAGGGAAGTAATATGCAGGGAAAAGATGAATTACACAGAATAGACTATCACGGACTGATACTTGGCATTTTCTCTTGCCCGGTATCTGAATGTTTTATATAGCTTCACTTAAATAACTTGAATCAACAAACTTTTCTTGATTTGATTTGGTGTGAAATTGTGATCTTTCAAAGCCTCAATTTAATGATTTTTTATTTTGATTAATTGCAGGACCCTGACGACTCCAGTTACACTGTACAAATGCTTAAAGTCAATCAAAGAGCATGCTTTTGTCAAATCTCCATACCCTGTAATAATAACTTTGGAGGATCACCTTACTCCAGACCTTCAGGCAAAAGTGGCTGAGGTTGGAACTTCATGTCTTTTTTGTTTTGAATGACACGGATTTCTGAGAACAAAATGTGATCATAAACTTTTTGTTTCCAGATGGTCACCCAAGTGTTTGGAGATATGCTCTATTATCCTGAGGCTGTGTCCTTAGAGTTTCCTTCACCAGAAGCGTTGAAGCATCGGATTATTCTTTCAACTAAACCGCCGAAAGAATACCTTGAAACAAAGCAGAATAAAGAAGATGGTGTCTCACCGTTGGGAAAGGATTCTTTTGAAGAAGAATTTTTTAAGAAGGAGACACCAACTCAGTCAGAAACTGATGCCAAGGTAAAAGGAAATTAAAATCGTACTCATCATCTAATGGGGGAATCACTATTATTTCTGATTTTTTTTTTCATTTATTTTATAATTTCAGTATGACAGTGATCTGGATGATGAAGATGGAGACTTCCAAAACCAAAAAGCATCTCAGCAAGCGCCACCAGAGTATAAGCGTCTTATTGGTATTCATGCCTGTAAGGCAAAACATGGCGTGAGGCATGCATTAGTGACTGCGAGTGATAAAGTTAAACGTCTAAGTTTAAATGAGCAAGAACTTGAAAAAGCTGCAGCATCCTGTGGAACTGATGTTGTGAGGTACCTACCGAAGGCTGTCATTTTGCATAAGTCTGAAGATATTCCCTTTCCTCAAAATCGATTACTGTTCTCATATTTGGTTTCCACGATGTTTCCTAGGTTTACGCAAAGAAACATATTAAGGGTGTTTCCTAAAGGAACCAGGGTCACCTCATCAAATTTTCACCCCATGATGGGGTGGACGCATGGAGCTCAAATGCTTGCTTTTAATATGCAGGTTAGTTTGGAAACTTCTATGCCCTGATAAATTATGCTGGTGGGGGTTTTTTTTTTTTTTTTTCCAGTGTAATCACCAGATTTATTTTCCGGCAGAGAAAATTATAAAGTATCTATTTGTTTTTTTTTTGAAGAAGAAGAAGAAGAAGTATCTATTTGTTAGTTGTTACTATTCCCCAATTAATATAATGTTTTTTTCCTGTGTTACAGGGATATGGGAAATGTCTCTGGATGATGCATGGGATGTTTAGAGCTAATGGAGGCTGTGGCTACGTGAAAAAACCTGATTTCCTCATGAACAGAGGTCCCTATAACGAGTTATTTGATCCCAAAAGACCAGTGGTAGTTAGAAAAACTTTAAAGGTGAGTGATGATGAATGATGCAATGAAGTTTAGCAAATTCGTGATCCGGATGAGCTTATAACAACTTTTATCATATGTCCCTGGCACAGGTAAGTGTATATTTAGGCGACGGATGGCGATTAGATTTTAGTCATACGCATTTTGATTCATTTTCACCCCCAGACTTCTACACAAAGGTCAGTCGTCATATCAGTTTCCACTGCTACACTTAATCTGAGGTGATGCAAGAATTTAATCTAACAAAAAGGGGCTGCAAATGACAGGTTCATATAATTGGGGTGCCGGCAGATGAGGCGAAGAAGAAGACAAGGATAATAGAAGATGACTGGGGACCAATCTGGGATGAAGCTTTCACATTCCCTTTGACAGTACCGGATCTAGCATTGCTGCGGATAGAAATCCGGGAGCATGACATGTCGGAAAAGGATGACTTCGGGGGGCAAACATGCTTGCCTGTGTCCGAGTTGAGACCCGGGATTCGCGCAGTTCCAATCTACGACAAAAAGGGCGAGAAACTCAGATCGGTCAGGCTGCTGATGCGGTTCCAGTTCATATGAGATGATCCCATTCCCATCACACACTCTGCACCCCAATTGTTCTTGTGATTGTGAGCAGAGTTTTTTGTGCATCCAAGTTAGTTGTGTACAGTGGTCACTTGGATGCTGCAACTGTTGTAAACATTCCAATTTATTAAATATTTTTTTTTTGGTTACTCATAGTTCATCATAGAGATTCATTGATACAAGTCAAATTGAACCGGTTGAGTTGGCAACTCCATATATATATGTCGATCATCATCTGGAAGTTTAAATTCAAGATGGAAAGGAGGGGGAAAACAAGAAAATGACAATTAGTTGTAATATTACCAGTGAGAATTTTTGTGGTACATCTAGTAGCTTCTATTATTGTTGCAAATCGTTAGAATGATTGATTACACACGTCTAGAACGCGTAGAAATGATCCAGCAACTCGGAGACACATACAGAAAGATAATTGTATGGTCAAGTCAATAAAATGAAAAGTCCAAACGTGAATTTGAACAATCTTTTTTAGATTTATTACACTTTTAATTCGAGAAGAAGGAATTTAGAACCATATCCGAGGGTTTTATCCCATTCTTTTGTCTCATAATGATTATCTAATTTTGGAAAATGAATATCTCATTTGTTTGTTAATTGGACAATTGTTAATGTCTATTAATATCATAAATCCAATTTTAATCCAGATATTATTATTACTACTTTTGGTTTTTAATATAAGTCATTTTGATTTGTCATACATTTCGACTAGTATGTATTTTTAATCGAAAAGAAAATTTTAAAAATATTTTTTATATTCGTTGCGTTCTCTTAATTGTTAGAAAATATTTTTTAAATTTTTTTTAATTAAAAATAGATACGAGGTGAAACGAGAAACCAATACTACAAAAGAGTTACACAGGATAGGACAACGTGCACAGGCATAAATCCGAAATCATATCCAATCAGTGAACTGTGAGTCCAGAAACAAATGGCGACCACGAGCATCTCACCATCACTGCTGGACCAATAAGGTTAAGGCCTAAAAGTTCATAGGACCCACATATCAATTTCCCATATTTATGGATATACTCCATTTCTTTTGTTACCATAAAATGGTACGGAAAATGAAACGTGAATCGTCTAAATCAATTAATCAATCATTCAATTAGTACTAATTACCTCCTCAAATCACAAGCTAAGCATATTTAATCCCAATGTTAGAACTCATTCAATCAATCAATCAATACCTTCCTACGTTTACAAGTAAAGCAAACCTCGAATAAATCCAGCTTCCGTTAAACCAGGAATTCTCCCAAATTGTGTTTCTTTTTTGATCTCATCAACTACCATACTTTTTTTGCCTGCATTCTTCTTGTCTGGTGGGATCATCCTCTTCATCATGTCTAATCCTAAGCAAACCTACAGAGTTTGCTTTTGTTTCCGGCGCCGGTTCCGGATGGCTGCCGCTGAGGCGCCGGAGGATATCAAGTCCTTGTTCCAGCAGTACTCTGAGAATGGCTTCATGAGCGCCGATGATCTGCGGCGTTTCATGGTTGAGATTCAGAAAGAAAAGAGCACCACTGTAGAGGACGCTCAAGCCATTATCAACAGCCTCCAACACCTCAATATTTTCCATCGCAGAGGTCTTCATCTGGATGCCTTTTTCAAGTATCTCTTTGGAGATATTAATCCTCCTATTGATACCAGCCGTGGGGTATGTTTATCTCACCTTTTCTTTTTTTTGTGTTTCTTACATGTTTCTACAATTGTTTTACTTTACAAATTCTTTTGTAGATGGTAAATTTTGTCATAATTTAAGCTGTACTTATGTGTTGTGGTATTTATTTGTGGAATGTTTGGTGTTAACTGGGATTGTGTGGTTAAAGGTTGTGTTATGACGTAAGGCCTTCTCAATAGGTTACTATCAATGAAGCAATTTGGAGGAATCTGTGTTAGTATCTGTCTCATGAATTTGGGGGACTATTCTAATTACATTTTGAGGTTTTTGCCTTTTACAGGTTCACCATGATATGACTGCTCCATTGTCCCATTACTATATATATACTGGGCATAATTCTTACTTGACTGGCAACCAACTAAGCAGTGACTGCAGCGATGCTCCCATTATAAAGGCGCTGAAGAGTGGAGTCCGTGTAATTGAATTGGACATTTGGCCTAATTCCACCAAAGATGATGTTGATGTCCTGCATGGAAGGTATTGAATTTCTGCAACGAGCTTTGTTTAGGTGTTTTGAACTCGGTTTATGCTGTTGGGTCAGTTTAAATGAAGGCTTTGAGTGAGTTACTTTAGTTTGTGGGCTGATCGCTCTGTTCTTTGATGCCTTATGTGTACTAACTAGCCTAAGCCTAATCAAGGAATGGTAAAGCTTTTCCTGTGTGTGTGTGTGTGTGTGTGTGTGGGTGGGTGGGTGGGTGTAATCAAGCAACTTGCCAATTATCAGTGCTACTTCCCATGTAAATTACCCTGCTGGAATATCAGGTGCAGCAAATTGTTTTAGGGTTGAAGGACCTGGGAGAAGGTGTTTTTTTTTTTTTGGGTTCATTTTTGGGCAAAAATAGCAAATTCGAGATATGGATAGAGTGGCATTCAGAGACTAATCTGGTGCAATGTTGAGTCTTAATCTGTTTGAGATAATGTTATGGTTTGTGAATTCTGAATGGGATCCATTTTACCCCTCTGGCTTTAAGATCTTAGTTCTTAATTTCTGTTGTTTTCCATGCAAGTATGCACATTGTCTTATACTGTGTACTCTTCGGGCTTTATTTTCTTCTGAGATTTTCTTATCACACAGGACTCTGACTACTCCTGTCAAACTCATCAAATGCTTGAGATCGATCAAAGAGCATGCTTTTTCTGCTTCTGAGTATCCTGTAGTTATAACACTTGAAGATCATCTTACTACGGACCTTCAAGCTAAAGTAGCTGAGGTTTGTATTAGCTTTTTCGAGTGTAATGGTAACTTCATTTTTATCTCTACTAAAGCGCTGCTTCCAAATCCTAGATGATTACTCAAACATTTGGAGACATGCTGTTTTCCCCTGGAGGAGACAAACTTACGGAGCTGCCCTCTCCCGAGTCCCTGAAAAAGCGGGTAATGATATCAACTAAACCACCAAAGGAGTACTTGGAAGCTAAAGTCCATGCAGAAGAGAAAAATTCAAAGGAAGGGAAACAATTAGCTGAGGAAGAAGCATGGGGAAGAGATCTTGATGCTAAGTCCAGGACCAGTGATGCAGTATGGTCGAGTTCTTCAACTATATAATGCTAATGACAAATATAATGTTTATGGATCTGTCTAAACTGCAAATTGGTGATACTCCTTAGTGTTACAACAGGACAATCAGGATGATGGTGAAGATGATGAGGACAATGACAATGATGATGTAGATCATAAGTCCCAGCAAATTGAAGCACCAGAATATAGACGTTTGATTGCCATTCACGCTGGAAAGGGAAAGGGCGGACTGGATGATTGGCTGAGGGTTGATCATAATAAAGTGAGGCGTCTTAGTTTGAGCGAACTTGAACTTGAAAAGGCTGCTCAAACTCATGGAAAGAATCTTGTGAGGTATAATTCTTTTCAGACATGCCCTGTTGCGTCTATATCCCAGACAGAGTATCGCATCATTAGTAGGAACTCTTTTCTTCATCTGCTTGTGCTTTATCACATGTTTTAGGAAGTATACATTTATTGCTTTAGTTGGTATTTAATTGAGCTGACTTCTAATGTAATTTGTGGACTAAATTATAACAATGTTAAGGAATAATTTTCTGCTCTTTAGTCATAAGCATAGCTGCGTCTCATAGTATTACAATGCAATACTGCTTTACGTAGAGGGCTAGTAATTAGTCAAGCCTTTACCAGAAATTTGTATTTGAAATGTCATTTTGCAGTTATTGACTTTCCTCCATGAATTTCTGTTCGCTCCTTTCAGATTCACCCAGCAGAACTTGTTAAGAATATACCCGAAGGGAACACGAGTTGACTCGTCCAATTACAATCCATTAATTGGCTGGATGCACGGGGCTCAAATGGTTGCACTAAACATGCAGGTTACTTTACTTAGTTCATCTAGATGCATTGATGTTCTTGGTGCATGCTATGGCTCTGTCAATTAGTTCACAGTATAACTATTAAGTTCCCACATTAGTACTCGGTGTGACAAGATTCTGCAACAGGGTTATGGAAGATCTCTCTGGGTCATGCATGGAATGTTCAGGGCAAATGGTGGCTGTGGATATGTTAAAAAACCAGACATTTTATTAAAGGCTGGTTCAAATGATGATGTCTTTGATCCTAAAGCCATATTACCAGTCAAAACAAGGTTGAAGGTGAGCTGAGAGTTTTCATTGATAGCTGTTGAATTATTCTCATTTTTAGCCTTTTCTTCAATAAATAAAGTACTTGCATTCCTATGATGTTTGAGCAGGTGACCGTGTACATGGGCGAAGGATGGTACTACGACTTCCGTCACACACATTTCGACACTTATTCTCCTCCGGATTTCTATGCAAGGGTACGTTAATTAACAGTCTTCCTGTAGGCAAGGGTCGCTTTTAAGAACTAAAATTGTCAAAGTTTCCTGATTGGATTCAATCTTAAAAATGCAGGTAGGGATAGCTGGAGTTCCTGCTGATAGCATAATGAAGAAAACAAAGACCTTGGAGGACAACTGGATTCCGACTTGGGATGAAGAGTTTGAGTTCCCCTTAACGGTTCCAGAATTGGCTTTGCTTCGTGTCGAGGTTCATGAGTATGATATGTCTGACAAGGATGATTTTGGAGGACAAACGTGCTTGCCTGTTTCAGAATTAAGAGAAGGAATCCGAGCAGTCCCCCTTCACAGCCAAAAAGGGGAGAAGTACAAATTTGTAAAGCTGCTTATGCGATTTGAATTCATTTGAACGAGAGGCGAGGGCCTGTTTGATGTTTTCCCTTCATGACCTCTGCCAATTATGCTAAACTTCCACGGAAGATATAATGTGTGTAGTATGTATATTATCAACCGCAGTTGCCTGTGTGTATTTCCAATGTTTGTCTCAGATTCCTCTGGTGATGTTACGGGCAATAGACATGTAAATTTGTACAGACTTTTCTTTCCTTCCGTCAGTGTTGTGTTGTAAATTTTGGCATTGTTTCATTCTCAATCCACTGCTTTCCTTCCTACGTCTCTCTTGCATCCTCCTTTTCTAAATTTGCTGGCCAAACAACCATTGGAAATTCGGAGTCATTAAGGAGCAATGCAGAATTACCATTTGATGCTTTCTTGCGACTTCCATGACATCTAGGAAACAAAATATTTTCAGTTAAAGGCGCTCTTGCTATCACAAATCCGCTATGACTTTGCTTGGATCCCTGTAGTTTTGTGAATGAAAACTAATTTTGCATGGAATTTACATTCTGCTACATTTTTTAGGACTTCATAATTGATTCCAAGAAATCCTACACTCTGCAGCGGCTGTGTGGAATGATGGAAAAAGGGAAAAAAAAATAAAAATTCTTTTGACCAAAAAAAAAGCGGATTTGTTTTATTCCGCCTGCTGGACTTGAATTTGAGAAAATTGCAGCAGAGTACGTATTAGATAGTCCTAGTGCCAAAACCTCCTTTCTCCAGTAACCCCTCATAATGACTTCTAAGATCGCCATCCAACCACCACCGCTTTCTCCACCGTCCTCCGACTCCGATTCTGATTCCGGCGACACCTCCCACCGCCACCAACATACGGACCTTTCCTCTACTATCTTCAAATCCTACCTCGAACTCACCGGCTACCAATCTTCCCCTCAACATCACGATCTCATCAAGATCCAGTCTTTCCTCACCTCCTCCCGCTCCGGCGCTCTCTCTTGTCTTATTTGCCTCGAACGAATCAAACCCACCGATCCCACCTGGTCCTGCTCCTCCCGTTGTTATGCTGTCTTCCACCTGCTCTGTATCCAGTCATGGGCCCTCCAGTGCACCAACCTCGCAGCTGCACGCGCCGCCTCACGCGCAGCCTCCATTAATGACGATTCACTGCAATGGCATTGTCCCAAGTGTCGAATCGAGTATCCCAAATCCCAAACACCCAAGTATTATTACTGCTTTTGCGGAAAAGTTGACAACCCACCTCATGATCCTTGGGTTTTACCTCATTCTTGCGGTGAAATTTGTGGGAGGCCGTTGTTACACAATTGCGGACACCAATGCCTGTTGTTGTGCCATCCGGGACCGTGTCCCTCATGCCCTAAATTGGTGAAAACCAAATGTTATTGTGGAGCTACAGAGGATGTGAGGCGGTGTGGATTTAAAGACTTTTCTTGTAATGGTATTTGTAGAAAGACTCTATCTTGTGGAACTCATAAGTGTGGCGAAATTTGTCATGATGGTGATTGCTCAATGTGCCGCCGAAAAGGGGTTTATAAGTGCCAATGCGGGAAAGTGGAATTGGAAAGAGAGTGTTATGAGAGGATCTTTAGGTGTGAAAATCCATGTAAGAAGTTGCTTAGTTGCGGAAGGCATGTATGCGAGAGAGGTTGTCATAAGGATCAATGTGGAGAGTGCCCTCTACAGGGCAGGAGGACTTGTCCTTGCGGGAAGAAAGTTTACGAAGGAATAGCTTGTGATGCTGTTGTGCCTTTGTGTGGAGGAACTTGTGACAAATTGTTGAATTGTGGCATTCATAGGTGCCCAGAGAGATGTCACAAGGGTCGTTGTGATGAGACTTGCAGATTAATGGTGACAAAATCTTGCCGATGTGGGAGCTTAAGAAAACAGGTAAATTATGCTCTTCTGCAGTATCCCATTGAAAATCTTCTTTGTTTTGGTGAAGTCGAAATTGAGGATTGTAAGCTAATTTTAGAGTAGGTTCCTTGTTATCAAGATTTAACTTGCGAAAGGAAGTGCCAACAACTTAGGGACTGTGGGAGACATGCTTGCAAGCGTCGCTGTTGCGATGGAGACTGTCCACCTTGTTCTGAGGTATGTGAAGTCTTTTCAATTATATTAGCAATCTTCTGAGTATGAACTATCCTGGAAAGTTTCTTAATTTTTTGAGTCACAGATTTGTGACAGGAGGCTTCGATGTAGGAACCACAAATGCCCTGCACCATGTCACAGGTATTGCACTTTCCCAGAAATTTGAATTTACCAAACTTAATGTGCTCAAGCTCCTTGGCGCATGATCTCTTTCAAATATCAGCATTATTATTAGAAACATGGAATTGTTTATGTTGATCTTGCTGCCTCGCATACTAATATCACTAGCTGTGAATGTTGACCATTATTTTGTTCTTGTAGAGGTCCGTGTGCTCCTTGTCCTATAATGGTGACAATTTCATGTTCATGCGGTGAAACACATTTTGAGGTCAATGCCAAATCTGTCTTTTAAGTTTCATTTTATCTTAATGCAGATCTCTGTATATTTGTTTGTTTCGGCATAATTTACCAGATAAACTATTGTTGTTGTCTTACTGTTGCAATATGCATTACCTAGGATCATGAGCTATAATCAAATATGACGTTTTAAACTGAATCTGGAAAGATAGGATCTTCATTAACTCTGGGGGAGGTAGGGGAGGTGGTTGGAGAGAGGAAGAGAGAGAGAGTTTAGCTCTCATTCTTCAACAATAAATGCAGTTTTAGGATAATTATAGGTTTTCAGTTGCTCTCGGCCTTAGTAAATGGTACACACATAGTGGTGATCTGATACTCATCTGCAGTTGTAAATTCTGAATTAGCTTTTTTAGTTGACAACAAAAATTGCAGGGGAAGAGAATCTCTTATCTTGGAACTTACCTAAAACATGAGTAGTCTAACCCGAGCCCTTGGATATCTGAATTTTGATTCTGCATCTCTAACTTTAATAGTCTGCATACTGGAATGTGGTTCAAGATTGGTTTTGGCTTGATGGCAATGAAAGTGTAGCAGACTTTGAATAATGGTAAGCATGCATATGTTGGTTTTAAGTATCCAACTCATTGCTCATGTATAAACTTGATGTCCAAACTGGTTTAAGGTGTAAATTGCCTGTCTTGTTCATGAGGTTTTTATTATGTTTCTGAGATATTGGTTGAATTGATTCCCCATCTGACAATGACAACACAGAAAATTTTGGAAAAAGTTGAAATTTATGTGGAAAAAAGAAAAATGTAATGTGGGCTTGAAAAAAAAAAAAAATCTAATTTACAAACAATTTATTTAGTATATGGACATCCTTTACCATCTTTTCTGTGGTAACCTTTGTGGCTCAATGGTCTGTCGTGCTCATAGCTTAGTTTATCCATCTTAGCTTTATGTAATGTGAACGGTTTTCTTGGAACTTTCATCCAGGTTCCTTGTGGCACAGAAAGCCAGCAAAAACCTCCTAAATGTCGCAAGCCGTGTCGCGTAGCCCCTTTGTGCAGGCATGCATCAAACCTCAAGGTTGTTTCTATTTCAATTTTTAAGAAGCTAGATTGTAGCCTATGTTTTGCATTCTGTTTTCACATTGTAGTTTGTAAAACTAATCGTCCGCTGTGTTCATCAGTCACACAGGTGTCATTATGGAGCTTGCCCACCTTGTCGTTTAATTTGCGATGAAGATTACCCTTGTGGCCACAAATGCAACTTAAAGTATGGGTTGCATATATTTCTTTTATTGCGCCAATTGCAAATCTTCTCAAAAGAGGATCCTGTTATTGAGATTATTTTTGTAGGTGCCATGGCCCCAGACCTCCTGCTCTTCCAGAATTTACATTGAAGCCAAAGAAAAAGAAGTTAAATCGTGAAGCTGAATATACACCGGGTTCATCGTGCCCTCCTTGTCCAGAACTTGTATGGAGGTCATGTGTCGGTCATCATGTTGGAGCAGAGAGGATGGTTTGTAGAACTTTCTAGTTTGATTTTCATGGAGAGGGAGAGAGGACATTACTTCATATGCTTGAATTTTGCTGAGGCACCATTTGTGCAATTCTATGTGAATTTTTCACACTCTTGATCTTTCCTCTTCAGATGATCTGCTCAAAACCTGCTGAATTTTCATGCGAGAATTTATGTGGTAATCCTCTTCCTTGTGGCAATCATTATTGCACAAAAGTCTGCCATGCTTTGAAGGGTGGTTCAAAATCACATGGGCGTGGGCTGGGTGAGTCCTGCGAAGAGTGTAATCTTCCTTGCCAGAAGGTAAGACATTCCTTTTAGTCTGCTATGTCACTTTTTTCAAATAAGTTCATACCGCATTTCTTCACATGGGAGATGCTAATGATTAATGGCACATGTTCATAATTTTTATTTCTATTTCTTAACCCTTATCCAGGATAGGAGCCCTCATTGTGTCCATTCTTGCCCCTTAGCATGTCATCCTGGAGATTGCCCTCCTTGTAAATCGCTAATTAAGCGCTCATGTCACTGCGGTTCTATGGTTCATGCTTTTGAGTGCCTATATTATAATAGCTTGACAGATAAGGAGCAAATGACTGTTCGTTCATGTGGAGGTCCATGTCACCGGTAACTGATCTTTCTTTCGTTTGGTTTTCTTCTGTTGCATATGGTAGTTCTGTCTATATAGGACTCAAAAACTTGCTGAAGTCTTCAGAACGTAACAATTTAGAAGTCTTGGTTTATGTGTGGGACAGGAAGTTGCCATATTGTACACATCTATGTCCACAGACGTGTCATCCTGGTGAATGCCCATCAGCTGACAAGTGCTTAAAGAAGGTAATGCAATGCTATATAAATGGAGTTTAGCCTTTTCCTTGGTTTATGTTCATTCTTGGTATCTATTTAACTGGAAGGAAAAAAACAAAAGAACAAATAAAGCATCGCATCTCGGGTGCACCTTTCGAAGTAACTGTTTGAAATGCATAGGAACTTAGACATTTTTTATTCATGGATCAACAGTTCTTTTGATGGTGGTGATATTGTGAATTCAGCTGATGAACTATTAAGCCACTTGCAATTGTTAATAACAAAAGACAATTTTTTTAAAATACTCAAAGAAACACTGTAATCTAATTTGAGAAATGGTTCAAACAATGTAATCTAATTCGAATAAGTTTTAATCTGATTTGTTGACGCTAGTTCACTGAACTAGTTCTGATTTGACATTTTTATTTCTTCACGTTCTTATCTGAATCTCTCTTGTTTCCTTTAATTTTTATAGTCTGTGTGTAATTTTTTTTTCTTTCTTGGAAAAGGTGGTTGTTCGTTGTGGATGCCAGACCTTGAAAAAGGAGTGGGTGTGCCAAGATGTGCAAGTGGCCTATAGAAATGCTGGTTCTGATCCCCAAGATGTACCCAAAAGTCGATTTGGAATTGGTCTTCTTCAATGTGGTTCAGAATGCCTGAGTAAAGTGAAGAGTAGCGATACTGAGTTACAACATCGTAAACCCAAAGTGACAGAGGTCATCTCATCTTACTAAGAAGCTACATTAACTCGTGTTCTGTTCCTGTGTAATTCTTAGTCTTTTTGACGAGAATAATATAACCAAAAATGGTTGCAACTGCAAATAAGAGAATTAAGGATTAGTAGTCTAGACTCTAGACAGAATGGATGATTGAATTAATTATTTAATCCCCTATGCTTTGTCTCTTTCTTTTACCATTTTCAACCTTGTGATTGCTGTGCCTTAAATGAACATCCTATGATTCTCTTCCTCTGCCACAGACGAAGGAATCAGAAGTTGAGAAATCTTTAGGAAAGCGTAGAAGACGGCGCGAGCGGCTACAGGAAGACAAGAAACCCTCGAAACTGCAGGTGTGTGATTTAGTGAGAAGTAAAGAAACATTTTTGGTTCTTTCTATTCTTGTAGGCCTAATGGATTATATATCTGTTGGTTCATATACAGTCTATTGTAGCTGCGGTAAAGAAGGTGCTATTGATTGTCATCATATTATTGAGCCTGATTGCATTAGCATATTTCGGCTACAATGGCCTCCTGTGGCTCTCGGATTGGATGAATGAAAGGGAAATACAACGCCAAAGGAGACGACAACCCCGGATTTAGGAACACTCGAGTTGATGTGAGTTTTTCATTGACATGAACAGGGTACTACAACGATCAGATTCTATCACATTGGACCACAATACAGTAATCGTAGAAACTAACAAGTAGCATTATCTTCAGAATTTTGACACTCAGTCCCATTTGCAACTTTGTTTTGTTCCATTCATTGAATGAAATGATCATGTTAATTTGTTTGCCAACCAACCCAATAATAATGTTGGCTTGTTTGTTTCTCATCTAAAAATTAAATGAGTGAATGAAAGATCCAAAAAAAGATTTGGTTGCTTTTTTGAAAGTCTGGATTAGTCTATCAAGATGGTACTTGTAGGAAATAGATTATTATGGACGGCTGAAGGAATAAGGATAAGGTCCCCACAGGAGGACTGACTAGTAGGTGTGTATGGGATTTGCCTTCACACGGGTGGGGTTATATATATATATATATATATATATATATATATATATATATTTGCATGAACACAAAGCACGTGCTTACCGTGTTTCTTCACAAGGAACTGTTGCCAGGGCCGATCTTTAAAAGTTCAAAGCTGCATTGCATAGAGAATAAAAAGTTTGGTATTTGCATAATTAATGCATCTTTTGGTGTTCGACGCAACCACGGGTAAGGTATGTGTATGTATATGTATACTGTAGAGAGCAGGCTCTTTTCTCCTATTACGTATTCCAACAAACAGGACAATCAGTTTGAAACGGAGAAGAGACGTTGGTTCCATCATTTATGATTAATTGAACAAGAGGGTTTCTTCTTTTCTTCTTTTTTGTTTTTCCGTTTCAAAACGATCGTTCTCATCTCCACGTTTCTGGGTATTAGGGAAATGTGGAAGCAAAAAGATGATGCATGTACTTTGTTCTGCATTGAGAGAGATGGACCACTACCACCCAAACTAGGAACTAACATTTTTTTATTATTAATTAAGCTATCAGATGATGATAGGTGAATGGTTTCAATTCCTTGAATAACTAACTTGTTTGAACTACAATGATGGAGGTCCTTTGAATGAAAGTTACTCTCAGGAATCAATGATAACACGTGATTACATTGTTGAAATGATGCTCTCTGATGATCTGTGGTTTCCCTTTTGGTGCTTTTAAACTGTTGGGCATGGTTTTCTGACACCAAATTTCCAGTGTTAGCAAATATATATTAGCAATTCTCAATTTTCTGGTCTCTAATATTTTCACTTTTGGCCGAGTCCTTGACAAAGCAAAAGAATTCATCAATCAATTTACTCAAAATATCATCTTCCCATTTCCCGGCCGTTTTTGTTGGATGCATGAGCATCACATGACCAAGAATTTCAATGTGCTGTTAACGCCAAGATTTGACCGCTAATGGGGTGAGACTGTGAGATAGACTCATCGAGTCGAATCAATGCAGAGACTCAAATGTTCAAATACCAATAGAAAAAGTAATGAGAATGACTTTTTTCGAGCCAAGACTCATCAGAAACTCTAATATGAATCTGCAATGATGTCTCATTTTCCTAGAATTTGGAGTTTCGCAAAACTCGTGATTACATGAAAATATATTTTTGTTGTACCACGTAGAAAAGATACAATATAAACCCTTAAAAGTGCCGAAAGATCGTGATTGACTGATTGATCTATTGCGCTAAGAAACGAAAAATCATATATTACCTGTGTATTGGATACTTTCTCGATTTCACCCTGAGATCCTATTTGATTGAGTAACAATATACTCCACGAGTCCTTTTGGATGACAGCAAAAAAAAAAATGATAGAAAACAGAAAAGAAATGGTTGAATTTGATTTAAAGTAGTAAAAATGTAGTAATCAAAGATGTAAGAGTCATCACGACAACAAGTGATGATAGATAGGCGAAGTGAATCACACACTGATCAACTCTCTCATGTGATTGTTGTCATTACTTATAGTGCTCCCCAAGAGTCCGTATTCAGTGCACCCGGATATACCGTATACCCCCACCAAACACACGCGCTACACACGCTTAACATTTTTCACTTTTACATTAAATGCACAAACAAAATTGTTTTCATCCATTTTACTATTTTCATCCTCACGCACAAATACACACAATTGCTGGTTATCCATAATTTATCCACAAGTTGTAAACTGGTTATTCAGAAGGGGTAAACTGGTTATCCAGAAGGTGTAAACTGGTTATCCAGAGGTGAAGAAGTAAACGACATGTTAATTGGGGGGCTTTGCCCCCCATGATAAACTAAACGACTCCCACAGTTACCGGAATCGCAGGCCACCAACCTGCCCCGACTGCAGCGTCCCACCGAATACGTCAATGTAGCTAAGATAATCCTTTTTTCGTGTGTGTGTGTAAGGAGAGTGTGTTATTGCGTTAAGAGAGGACACAAATTACTTGTATAAACCCCCCGTGATAAATTAAACGACCCGGCTGCGCCGCCCCCCCTGCCGAACACAGCAAATTTCATAAATAGTATTTAATTGAATGAGGGGCATTTTGTCAAATGATGGAGAACAAAAAATGAATGAGGGGCAGTTTGCCAAATGATTGAAATAAGGTACGTTCAATTGTGTATAACTAATTATCCATATTGTCAATACTGGTTATCCAACTGTGTATAACTAATTATCCATAGTGCCAACACTTGTTATCCACATTGTGAACACTGGTTGTCCATCGTGTGTAGCTGGTTATCCATAGTGTGCACACTGGTTATCCAGCTATGTTTAACTAGTTATCCATAGTGTGCACACTGGTTATCCATAGTGTCAATACTGGATACTTCATCACAAAGTTTTGAAAATTTGAATGAATTCGATAATTTATATATTCCGCGTTTAAAAAAAAAAAGAAAGCTGAATTATCTAGCGAGCCCACGCAATTCTAAGAGAGTAAAGTACACGCGCAGGGAGGTACACGGTGCCCCCGGGTATACCAGATAATTTGTCCTCCCCAGTTCCAACTGCATTGGAATTAACCAACAAACCTAAAGATTTATCTTTTGTCACACGTTATAATCATATAACACCATCTGTACAGTAAAATTTATCTTTTGTCGCACTTTATAATCATATAATACCATCTGTACAGTTAAAACAATTTTTTTCATATTTAAAGGGACATTCTTGTATATTTGTATCATCAATTCCTTCGTATTCTTTGGGGCTCGTGAGTGGATCCAGGTCGGGTCTGCCTTAAAGATTGATGCGTTGATACTTTTTTCCGTTCCATAATTATCGTCCAATTTGAATTTTCATTTTCAGTTCAAATTGTATTAAAAGTGAAATTTCAAACTGACTAATAATTTTGTGATAGAAAGAGTACTTTACTTTGTACCTGGCAGGTGGCAACTGCCGACGACTAATCCAATCTGTACTGCTTGAGCTTGATTAAAAAGACCTGACGGAACGCCTTTTTTTTTTTTTTTTTTTCAATTTTCAACGGGGAATTTTCAAAGTCAATTCTGGGTAAGTAAAGAAGTTAGCCCCACCCCACCCAAGCTTCTTCAATTATATTACTCCACTGGAGTATTCCTTAACACCATCTTTTCTAATTCTTTTTTTTTTTTTTTTCTAGTAGCATCATTGACGTGGGTATTTTGATGGAACGAAACAAACTAGTATTAAAAAGTCCTAAGAATTGCAGACTTCGGAGTTTCGAACTACAACTGGTCGATGATTCTACATTGGTTTTAAGACTTCCTGGTTCACATCAAGATTTAAAAACAGAGAAAGGGACACAACTCCACCACAACCACCGTCTTGTTTTTGTTCCCACAAATAACATCTTTTTTATTAGTCTTTGCTTAACAACTCTGTTTGTTCTCAGCTTTACTTTAGGAGTAGCATATATTCTGGAATACCCCGCGAGATGAAAGCCTTTGTGAACAAAATTAATATATTCATCACTATCTTTAACCTCCAAAATGAAACCCAAACCCCCATTTCACCAAGTCTACTGTAATCTCAAACCTACTCTCTCCGTCCCATAATTATTGTACAGTTTAGGTTTTCATTTCTAGTTCAAATTGTACTAAAAATAAAATCTTAAACAGAACAATAATTATGACACAGAGGGAGTATATCTGATATAGTGTTGACCACTTATGGCGTCTGAATTTACAGAACACATGCAAAATAACACAAACCGCGCATCATCAAGTGAAATCAAATGTACTCAGACTTGAATATAAGATACTAGTTCTTCAATTAGAATGGAATAATGTTATCTCCTATTTGATCGTCACCTTTCATAAACCGTCTAATGTTAGAAACAAAATCCCCGCTCTATACAATCCATAAGAAACAACCCACAAATTTAAAAACAGCCCCAAAACTATGAACAACAATATAAATCATCCAAAAATTTAAAAAAAAAATAAATAGAGAGAAAAAAAAAATATTGTGATCTAGAGTTACATTTGAAAAAATCAATCAGAAACTGAAATAGGACCACTGGATATGCTTCCGTGACTATCATCGCACAGCGCCAATGCTCGTTCCAAATTGGCAACCACATCAGTCATGGTTGGCCTATCTTTGCCTTCCAAATTCACACAGTGCATGGCGGTGTACGCCACCAGCTCCACCGCCTCCGCCTCGTTCAGCTCCGGCGGACCTACTCTCGGGTCCAATATCCTGGTCAACTCTCCGGTCATGATTGCCGGTACTGCGTAATCCACTACACTCATTGGCTCCCCGTCGTTTTCCGACGACTTGAAAATGGCCCTTTTCCCAGTCAAAACCTCTAATAATACCACTCCTAAACCGTAAACATCACTCTTTGCTGTTAGTACATTTAGACCGTAGTATTCCGGATCAATGTACCCTACTGTTCCCGCCGCCTTGGTTGGTCTAAAATCTTGGTCGGACTCAGGACCCATTAACGATAACCCGAAATCCGAAACTCTTGCAACCCAATTCCCATCAATCAAGATGTTAGATGACTTAATATCTCGATGAATTATAGGTGGAACTGCATAGTTGTGAAGATACTCAATCCCGCGAGCGGCGTCTAATGAAATCTTGATCCTTATTTTCCACGAATTCACCAGGCTGCTGCTCTTCTCCACGTTGTTCTTGTCGTGCAAATGATCATACAGAGCTCCATTCTTCATGTATTCGTAAACCAGAAGCCTCTCATCACGTTCTTCACAATATCCAACCAGCCTCACCAAATGCTTGTGATGAAGGCGTGACAGGAATGCCAGTTCTGATTCAAAGGCGCTCTCTTTCTCTTGAAATTTCTTCGTTCTCGGACCCGATTCGCTCCGTTTAATGGCGACCTCACGCCCGTCTATTAATTTACCTTTGTACACAACCCCAAAGCTGCCAGCACCAATCTTGTTTTCCAGAGAAAAGTTATTGGTTGCCGCAGCAAGGTCTTGGAACAGGAATTCCTCAGCCCTGTCTGGATGCTTAGTTGATGAAGTTCCACTCCTCTGCCTCCTCATGAGCCGAGATCCTTGTCTCCTTAAAGTGGATGATCTTGAAGGTGGATTACTGTTAGATAGTGGAGGCACATTATTGTTGTTGTTGTTGATGGTTGGTTGAACAGAATTATGAATTTTCTTTTTCCCAAAACAAACACCTGTCCACAAACAGTAAATAACAGAGCAAATTCCTGCAAAACCTCCCACTGAGCCGACTATGGCAAAGGCAAGTAAACCCCTCCTAAGCCCTGTTGACGGGGAGGACGGCGGCGAGGAATCCACCGGAGGAGGCGGCGAAATCGGTGGCTGTAACGGTGGCGGAACCGGTTGGGAGAATATATCACAAGGCCTACAAATGTTACCATCACCAGAACATAAGGTTTGGGATTGAGGATAAGTACCACAACGACAAACACCTTGAATACATGGCCCCGGAAGAGTCCTCCGCAAAGGGAGCCCTGTGGCCGCCGGAAACAAATTACTCGGCCACCCTGGACCCCAACAAATCACTGAAAAATTGCTCGTAACCAACCCACATGTGAAATCCAATCCAGCAACAATAGATTCGAATGAAAGAAACTCGGTGACGTTACTGGAATATTCACCATTGCCACCCCAACAAACCACCGTGTTATTTACTCTCCGAATTCCACAAGTATGATTTGCGCCGAGAGCAAGGGCGCTGTATTCGAAAGGAAGATTGGATGGAACATCTAATTGACCACTGTTATTTTGTCCCCTGCAAATCACAATTCCACTTGTGTTGACTCCACAAACATGTCTTCCCCCAACAAATATGTTAGCCATTGACAGATTCGCAAACTGAAATTGAATATCGGATGCAACATTTCTAGTATTTTGGTTGCTACTCCAACAAACAATTCTGCCACCATCTTCCAAAACACCGCAAGAAAATCCCAACCCAGATGAAATTGACTTGAATGTTGAATTGACGGGATAAGATTCCCCCCGCCAACAACTGACATTATGGGTGTCGTTTCCCAAGGCGCAAATTTGAGAATCCCCTACGGTAACACTTTCTAATAGAGTTGTTGAGTTCGCAAGGTAGAGCCTTTTGGGTGTGAAGTTGGGTGTAGTCCAACACAGAAGGCTGTAGCCGCCGGAGCGGATAGCACAGATGGTGTCCTGACCGCCGGCGACGGAGTCAAAGGAGACGCTCGTTCCGTAAATGGAGGAGAAAACTTGACCGTTTCTCCAGCATTGAATCTGCTGGGTCGATTCATCGGCCACCAAACTGCAAATGGTGGTGAACTGGCCGTAGCTGATAGCTAAAGTGGTGGAGGACCCTCCGAATGCGTTGACTGACGGTGTACCGGTCAACAGAAGCAAAAGGGCTAGGATGATGGTAGGGACGACGGCGGCGGCGGCGGCACAGGGTGGCGGAGGAGTCATTTAAGGCTGGCAAAGGTGGATGGAGCGGCCAAAACCGCCCCTCATTTGTGGAGAGAGAAAGGATCAATCTTGGAGAGCTAGTGAGAGAAAGAGAAAAAAAAAATTGTGGGATTGAGACTAACTAGCTCTTAGGTTCTAGGAGTTGTACTTCAGTTCTTCTTCATCTGAAAAATAAAACAGTGAAAAAATTGTTTGGAAAAAAGGGGACTAAAAAAGCAACAACTTTTTTATTTTCCATGTCACCAAAAAAATTACACCCACGAGCTTCATAGGTGAGCCACGTGTAAAAACGCGGGACCACTTTGTTGATTGAGGTGAGTGAGCCAATGAGGGAATACCACGTAAAACGTGGTTATTAGGTGGCCCTCAAAATTCATCCCCCAGAATGTTGGTTGGTAGCTTTGGTATGCTCATTTTGTTTGGGTGTAGATTATATTAGTAGAATTACCAAAGGTAAATGAACACAAAATATATTGTCAATGCGATTAAAATGTGGTCACAGAATTATTAAATATATGTTTCCTTTAATATGCATGGCAGTTATACTAACAGTATTTAATTTTATTTGAAATTCAAATGAAGTAGGATTACAGCAGGCAGATATTATAAATGGGTTGAAAATCTAATCGCGTTTATATGTTAATAGGAAAATCCATAATAACTACTTAATGCTAAAATATTGTACTATATGGGGCGTTTTTTTATGTATCCCAAATAAGCATGACTCTTGGAGGACGTATACACTCCATTCTAAAGGATTACAGATCCTCAAGAACACGAACAAATAAAAGTATTCTACTTCTACACGCGGAATTTGCAGTATATTTAGAGTGGCTTGAATATTTCTACCCCCCCCCCAAAAAAAAAAAACAAGTTGTAGCTCGAATATGAAAGGCAGTCGTCAATAAATTACTGTATTTTTCAAAGTCTAAAATAGGTTCCTTGGTAAAGCAAAAAAAACAAACCCGGGTCAACAAATTTATAAGTCTTTCAGATTTATAAAATTAAATTTAAGGAAATGATGAGCGTGGGTTTTTTTTCCCACGGGAAATTCATGCGAAACTGTATTTTGAATATTTGGTTCTTACGTTCTTCGAATGTTTTTTTTCCCTTTTATTTGCTTTATTTATTTATATTTTTTTTGGAAAGACAAAGAGTTCCAAATGAATCGAATTACGTGATTCGTGAGGATTCCGAAAAGGCGAAAACGAGGTACTACCAACTCTTCCGATTTTCTTTTGGTTGATTCCCCAGTGCAACTTTAAAAGCGTATGTTTGGAGTTTTTTTTTTTATTTTTTTTCCTTAACATACAAGAAGATGGTCTATCTCAAAATTATTGTCCATTTTATATTTTCATTTTTAACTCTATTTGTATTATAAATAAAAACTCAAATTAGACAATAATTTTGGAACAAATGGAGCACTATATCTTGGGATACGAAACCCGTAGCCGTGCTATAACTATTGCGAGGAGTTAGCCAATTTCCTAGAGAGATTAATATTGCAACGGATTGTCTTGCCAAACATTTGTTTGGATTTCATTATTTTATATTCCAGTCTTTGATACTATAAGATATTTTGATTTCTTCTAAGTTTTTACGTAATATATTTTTCTAAATGAAAAAAATCTAAAAAAATATTTTTTAATAATTAAGAAAACACAATGAATGTGAAAATGTGATTTTAACGTTTCATTTTCAATTGAAAAAAATATATTAGGCGAAACTTATGATAAATCAAAATGTATTCTAATAATTAATAAGGACCGGAAAGAGTACTTCAAAGTTTCCAACCAACATTTCAACAGTAACGGTAACAAAAAAGATTTTTCATGCACCTAGCTCGATATTACGATTTATAATTCAGCAATACTAATATATCAATAGTTCTCTGTGATAGATAATTTGAAAATTCAATTTACTTTCGTCCTCAAAAAATAAAAACAAGACGAAGGGACTGGGGATGGTTGTGCATTAACTTGCTGTCAGAATTAGAGAAGCTAATTAATAAAGGATATGAACACCAATCAATGTATTTGAATATCCAGGAAAAAAAAAAAGAAAATAAAACATGTGCAGTAATTGTGGGGATTCTGTTTCAGTTAGTTGAATTTTTTACGCCAAATGTTACGTGGCAACTGAACAAAAAATTTACGTTTTTAGTTCTCCTCTGTCCACAATTATTGTCAGTTTTGCCATTTCTATTCAAATTCAGTATCTTAAAAGTGAAATCTCAAATTGGGCAATAATTTTTGGACAGAGAGAGTATATTTTTTTTCTACTTTTGGTCTGCTGGAAACCTCCTCATGAAAGGAAATGACAATGGAGGAGGAGGAAATGAGTTGGAGAGGCAAATTTGAACCAAAAAAAAAAAAAAGTGCCAATAATCATGTTGTGCCCCCTTCAAGGCCTCAAGACTGGACCAATAAAGCCAACTTGGAAGAACCAAAGAGAGGATTGCTAATCTAATCTATTTTATATAAATTGCATTAATCAATTTGATTGTGCTTTTCCCCAGCGTTATCCTTACGTATTCATTATATAAATCGACGTGTGTTTTTTTTTTTTTTTGGTCTACACCAGAAGTTTCCACGTAAGAATAATAGTCAGATTTTGGGATTACGTCTAGCCCGGGCGCGAATTGGTCATCAGCGTTTCAGTCAACTTTCCTGAAAAATCCAGTTTGACCTTCAATTATTTGAATATCTAGAAGCCATATCCTTTACTGTGATTTTCCTCTTCATTAATACTCCACTAATGATCTATTGATTTTTGGCTTTTAACAAGAAAATTGGCTGTCGTCTGTTGATACTAGAAAGTAATAACTACATCGTCGTATTTCAGTTACTGTTTGAAATCAACAACAAACATAAGTAGTAGACTTGAAACTAAGGAGAGTCAAAATGTTGGTTTTGGCAGTATTTACAACCTTAATTGCTGGTTTTCGGCCTGTTTACGTTCTACCTAAATCCTTCAATGGAAGGCTACAACTACTGTGAACTACTTCATGGAAGAAGACATAAAAATGAAAGGGGAAGAAAACAAAAACGGGTGGCATCGCTCTCAAGTCTTTACCAATAAAAGGAAAATCATTTCATCATCATCCCATCAATTTTCTTCAATGGAAAAGTGAGCCCTTTGCATATTTAGATAACATGGGTCAACTTATTCGTTATTTGTTGCTGTCCTATTATGGCTTTCATTTCAGATAAGAGTGTAATTTGGTCCAGATGGTTTTACTAAAAAACACTTTGGTATGACCATTTAATATAATGGCACAAAAAAAAAGAAAAAAAAATAATCAAAACAATATTGTTGTGTTCTAACATCGCTTCTCTCTACTGAAGTCACAGGACCCTTTTATTTCCTTTTTTACTCCTTTCGTTCCCGAAAGATTATACTGTAAGACAAACACGACGATCATTTTTGGGATAAAGAGAGAATATTTACTTTTATTATATAAAGTTGAGATGTTGCCAATTGGGATCTCTCTTTTTTGCTTCAAATTTGTTGCAGCACTAATGTCCCTTCATTACTGAAGAGCACATTCTCAATGACAGCTTATAGCATGGTCTTGTTCTTCAACATTGTTTGCTGTCCTTTGTTGCTGAATAGATAACAATGGCTTTTAGGAACATGGGTTGCTCTAAAAAGTAAACCACAACTTGTAATTGTCTAACATTTCAGACATAATCATGATGTCCAAAACTTTTCCTTAAATCCTTATCCTTAATAATTGACACTTTACTTTTACAAATGATGGACATAAGGACCTGGTTTTTCTGTGAACTGGGATGGCCACATCATGCACCAAATTACGTTGTTATTGCCGTATATGATTATGCTTGAAGCTGGCATTGGTCCATATATGACCATAAACGCACACTATCTCCAGGCTTTTAATGAAACAGTCACAGAGTTATATCACTTGTTTCTCCTTGAGAACACTTCAACATGGTGGTTTGCATTTTATGCAGTTTTGTAGCCTCGACAACCATGCGATTCCATTTTAGGATCTTCAAAGTATGTTAGCCGTTAACTTCGGTGAATAAATATTGGAATTTCCGTAGATGAAAGTCACCTTCTAAACTGTTATCTACCCGACATCAGCAATGTTTTATCAACAATGTCGATTTTTTGGCTGAATAGGGAAGTCCAAGAAACACTGCATGAGCTGGTACGATCGATGATTCAAGTTTTTTAATTTAAAGAACAACAAGGAATTGGTTGCTGGCCAATGCCAGTGGCCATCAATCAAACAGTTCAGAGGAGACTTCATGTGTAGAATTAAAGCTAGGTGTCTGGTTACTATAATGTTAAAGAATCCCCATCCATTTTACTTATTTTTCATAAGACCTCACAAATTGATTCAAACTCTTCCTTGTTTCCAAAATTTTCTCTGAATTATCAAGATGATACTAGCTAGTGTACATCTTCTAAGTAGGAGTAGAGAGTACCTCATAAGTATTTAACTTTCACACAGGAGTACAGAAGTATAGCAAGAAAGTGTTAAGAGCAATCTTCTAATAATTTAAATCTTGTCGGTTGAAGTTGAACCATTGAACATTGAGCTGCACCTGTCCTTTAAATATGGTAGAATATTGAGCTGCTCTAAGCAGCAGTACATACGTAGCTAGGGTTTCCTTACATCTAAACTCTGAATTCTGAAATAGCACTCTTCGACTACTTAGGAATAGCACCAAATAATAGGGATTCTGTACAGAAGAATTTCACAAATCATACTAATAATTATTGGTTATAAAACAGTTTACGCTACCCCCGAGAGATCCATTAGATTTTACTTGGATTGGAAGCTATAAACTAGGTAACCGAAGTCTTGGCCTCGAACAAATGGAGAATATCCACTGGAAACACCTTTCCAAAGTGGCTGAAGAAACTTGAAGCTGGTTCTGTGCACAAAACGGTACTGTACAAAACTTCAGTCTTTCTGGGAAGAGACTGCCCTTTTCTAAATAGAAGCTTCCAGGTGCATCCAGGAATAATAAATAGTTTTACCCATTGATGGTCCCCTCATAATTAGTCCACCCAGATGCAGGAATCCCGTGTTTTTGAAACCATTCGGGCATATGAAATCTTTCATAGAGCACAGGCCTTACATCTTTCTGCTCAGAAAGGTGCTTCAGAAGTGGAAGGATAACTTCCAAAAGCTGATGAGCATGGAAAGTAAAATTAGTACCAAATGTCTACATTTTGATTTCTGAAAAACAAAAACTTCATAATTTCTACTTTAGCGATACCTGTTCATCATGCGGTTGACCCGCAGAGAATGGCATGCACGGGATGCCGTTAAGTGGTTGCAATAAGAAACTAAACGGATTATTATCAACAATGACTGTTCGACACATATCCTCTGATATACATGACAGATCCTTTACATGCTCTCGATATTCTCTGCAACAAATATACGTCCCCCAGCACATGTAAATCAGATGCTTCCTCAAAATTAACATTCCATACCATAATTTTAATGAGAAATATCATCTCAATTCCAAGTGATGCATATAACACATGAACACAGATGACAACTCTGAAATGGACCATCCTCTGTAAAACAGAGACGTGCAATAATCTTCGCATCGTAAGACTTATGTAACTTCAATTTAGGTTTCAGCTTTTGAATCCATCTTGAATAGTGGCATTTCGGGAAGAAGAAAAGAAAACGGCCATAAAAAGCTTCTAATATTCCAGTAATATGCTGTAGACCAATATAACACGTTCAGGTTACAACACAACAGCGAGTTTCAGTATTATGCACAGATAGAGCTTCATTTGTCAGTAAATATTCATCAATCACATCTCCAAATCCAACAAGCAAACCCATTTTATTTCTATTTCTTCTGCATAGTGTGGCATCATTCCTAAAGGTCTCCATGCAACTAATCTAAGGTGGATGTTTAAATTAGCAAGAGATTAAGGTCGTCCAAAGTATAAACAATTTAGTTAAAATCAATGCATAAGAGCCTCTGAAAAATTCAAAAAAGTATCAACAATGATTTAAGAAAACTATCGACAACAAAAGAAATTTGAAAATTGCAAAATTAAATACCTCAAAACGAAATCAGTGACAAACTTACGTGCTAATTGTTGATGGTCTGTAGAGTCTGTGACTAAATCGATTTCCAGAATCTATTCTGTCTACAAGAGGCCTTGCATAGCCTGCAAAGTGGAAGCTGATAACATCAGTAATTGGAAACAGTATAAACAAAGGTTAACTGAGAGAATGCACAAGAGAACGTCCCCAAAAACAACCCTTGCCCAAGTAATACCCAAGCCCTCTCCCTCTTCTCCCCAACAACAAAACCACCCCAAAAGAAACAATAGAAAGCATTGAATATGGAGGTGGCAGCATATGTTTAACGAACCTTCAAGTCCAGCGGTAAACAAAACAAGAGTTGCAAATTCACTTAGTTGAGTAAGAAATTCATGTAATCCAGGACGCTCGAACACTGTAACATAGTTGATCTTAGGTTTTCCTTCAAACTCCTGGAAAAAAATTCAGGTTAGATATTGTCTAAGGATGGAATGAAGACTGAACTGTACATAAATGACGGATTAATCACCTTATCAGAAGATACACATTCCAACTCGAACCATTTCAACCCAGCTTCTATGGCTTGACTGCGTATCATAGAGGGTAGACTAGATGTCTCATATGCGCAAACTAAAGTTTCATCCAAGTCAAGAACGACCTGCAGCAAGAAACTCAAAAACTTAAACTTCAAAGGTCCTTAGACAATAAGCTAACCCCAAATACACCACACCAAATCGATCAATAAGCTTCTATTAAGGCTCACAAAACCAAAATCTAGTTCCAGTTTACTGACAATTTTGGTGAGAACGAGGAAAATTTTATCCTATGCAATCTACAACCTCTACTTTCAGTACAGGAATGATCTTGGATCTAACCTTCTTTGCTTCTAGAACATATCAGAACGACATTCATCCTTATATCAAACCGAACCGGAAATAACCAAATTTAAAAATTTCGTTCCTTGCACCACATCAGATTGAATATGCTACTAAAAGGTTCCTCCCCTATAAAAATAGCTCATCCACCCAGCTAGCTTTATGTCCACTCCGCAAGGCATATGCTTGCCTTCCTTAACGATCTTAAAAGTGTTTAGCTGAATTAATGGTAACTTCGATCATAGTTAAAAAGCCTGCCAAGTGTAACCCAAATTGGGTTCTTAAGTGGCACTCCCAAAAAACAGAAATCCAACTCCCTTCTTAAATTCAACGTTATAGTTATAACTAACTGTATCTGCATACAAATCTTATGATAAATCAGAAACACTACCACACGTAAGCCCAATAACAAATACTATCATACAAATAGACCACATCTGACAACAAATCAGAGAAACCTCTTATAGTGATCAGAAATGGCAAAATTAAGGTAGAATTTGACCGAGTACCGTGAGCTTCTCCAGGCGTTCATCAGCGCCGGGAGTAAATTGAACGGTAGAGGAGGCAGGAGGAGCCGGACGTTGATGCGGAGGATCCTCAATCTCCTGTAATTCGACCACCGGCAAGGGCTTGAACTGAGGTGAGGAAGGTGGCAGAAAGGACTGACCTAAACCGACGAAAGACAGGACTTGAGTGACCGACGGAGTACCCCTTAGGATCTGAACGAAGATCTGGAAGAAGAAGCCCAGCCAGTTCAGGAGTGCTCTCCACACTTGCAGAGTCCTCGGCGCGTACACATCGGCTGCCGCCGCTGCGGCGGCGGCTTGTGCCAGCTCCGCCATATGTGCAAGTGTTTGTTATTATTACAGCAGAGATCAGTGGGATCCCAAACTTCGAAAGTCTTTGTTGAGTTTCGGAGTTTGTTATGAATGATTAAGAGAGCGAATTTTGTGCGTCCGCGAATCAAATCTCATTGGAAATTTTTGGTTTCGTGAAGTTTCATCTTCTCTTTTTTTCCTTGTTTTATATGTATTCTTATATTTCTTCTCTAGTGTGTGTGTGGGTGTGGGTGTGTGTGTGTGTGACGGAGTTGTGGTCAAGGTTGTACCTCGACGAAACAGTCCCTGATTGGCAAGACTGTGAAGAGATGCCAAAGCGGAGAGTTAGTTACACGCGTTTGAATATGAGAGTCTCTTTAACTGTCCCGACGTGAAGATTGGTTCTTTCTTTTTCCTTTTTTGGCTTTTTTGTTTCCATTTGCCCCTCCACTTTTTATTATTTTCTAAAGAAAATTTTGTTTTTCCCCACTGCGTTTATACAATAATGTTCTCTGGTCCCCTTAGTTAATAATTTTATTCCAAGTATGAGTGCTGATGTTAAGAAAATGACAAGAGGCTTTTGATAATTGTACTGTAGTGTAGTAGTAAAGGTCAGTCGTGGGTTTGTTGAAGATGCTGACACGGGTCTCTGATTGAATCGTCGTTGTTTGTGAATTATGTTTTATTAGTAGTGTATATTAATGAGTTTTTAAAAAAATGGTTAATTTTAGTAGTTAGAAATCTATTCATATCTCCACGTGTATTCATTGATGAAAATGTCAATAGGGATTTTTAGGGAGAAATAGGGCTGTCAACGGATCGAGTCAAGCCTAAACAGTTAGGTGCTCGAGCTTGAGCTCGAGTTCGACAAAAAATTTGGATCTCGTATTTGAGTTCGAATTCAGTCGAATATCTAAATTGAAATTTGAGTTTGGCTCAAAATAAAAACAAATAGCTCGCTCTCAGCTCGATTGGCTCGAATTTTTGTGTTCGATAAAAACTAAACTCGAATGTTCGATAATATTAAGCTCGAATACATTTTTAATATTTGTCATTTTTAATTCAACAAATTCAATCTATATATTCTATGAACAAAATTCTTTGACAAATCATAAAAAATATGTATATCCTATTATTATATCTTCAAAATATAAAGGACAATAATTTTTACGGAATAAAAAGAAAAGTTTTCATGAATTATATATTATTTATAATAAAAATTAAATAATTTATAATAAGTTCGAATAGGCTCGACGAATTCTCGAATCAAGTATATTAATAATCATGCTCGACTTATCTATCTAATCGAACTGTTCGAATTCGGTCAAAGTCGAATTCAAGCCAAGCTTTGACCAAGCTATTCGCGAATTGTTCGCGAAGTGCTCGATTCGTTGATAGCCGTGGGGAGAAATCTATTCATATATTCACATGAATACATTGATGAAAATTGATTGTTGAGGAGAAATCAAAGTATACAATTTGATCAAGAGTAATCATTATTGTTTTGCAATTTGATGATAAATTGTGTGAGACAAGTTATGGATGACGCTCATAAGTGTCTGTTGCATGATAATCAACCAAAATACAACAAAATTTTAGATAATAAATAAATGAATAAAATTTATCTAAAATTGACTTTTACCATTTGGGCATTTCTAACTTCACACAATCACTTTTATGACATACTCCTAGTTCTTTTAAGAATAGTTTTGTCTAATTTGTTTTTTGACAATTACACCACGCATCCTTTGATAATTATCTTTGGAATTATCTTTGTACAAGTCTCATAGAGGCATAATAAAAAGGAGAATTTTCAAAATGGCGGGGTTCTTCCTAGATTGAAACTCAAGTTATGCTTTGCTTCTTCACAGACTTGGATTATTTTCGTGTCCTTCTAAAAAATTTAAACATTAGTCATTACTCACGAAGTTGGTAAGGACAATTTACCATATTATTATTCCTTTGTATCAACAACAAATTTAAGCCGCTTTCCGCAAATGATTGATTTATAGAGGGAATTGCTGAAAATATCGGAGAAATGCATGCACATTAACGTACGTCGATTACGATGTTTATGTCGGCAACTCGGCATGAGTGATTGATTAGTGTTGTTAACTGATGGACTAATTTGAGGAGAGAGTAAGTAACACAATAAGGAATAGTTCTTGTAGTAAATCGGCGCATTTCGGAGTGTGGTATGTATGAGTCGACGTGTCATGTTTAGATTTGACATGAATTTGCTTTCACTCTTTTTCTTTTTCTTTTTTTTTTCCCTTGGGGTACAAATAAGGAGGGAAACAAAACAAGGGGGGAGGAAGAGACAATCTGCCCTTCTATTGGGCAAATTTTGTCCCGTCCTTGTAAACGTGTAAGGGGGTGGTAGCAGATCCCTATGAACACAGTTGCCTCGTAAATCAGCGCCCAGAATTCTCTTCATTTTTATACTAACTTGGAAACCGACTTTTTTGTCATCTTTTTCACTTCAGCTCTCAATGAAATTCACGATGAATCCACTCACACTATTCAGTATTCGGTACTCATCGAAACCACTTTTTTCTTATTCTTTTCATATTTAGATTTAGATAGTGTTTATAGTAAATAATACTCTCTCCATTCTAAAATAAGTGTAATGCTACACTTTGCACATAATTTAAAAAACTCTTAAATAGGATGATAAAATTACTTAAATATCATCAACCAACCCTATTAAAATATCCACCAATAGTATTAATTTTTTTTTAGGATAATTTTGGAAACTTTAGACAAAAAGTGTATTAGAACATGAGAACAATACTTATTTTAAAAAAATTTTATTTTGCTAAAACGACATTTATTTTGAAACGGAAGGAGTATTAACTAGTTTCTCTTCCTAAATTATACTAGATATTTTCATAGTTGAACAAACTAAAAGATTCAAGACTTAAAAGGTGAAGGAGTTTACTTGTCCACAACCTTTTAGTTTAATATCGAAACCACATTTACCATGCATTTTGATTTTTTACTTTTTTTAATGGTGCGGAAAGTTACTACCTCGAGTATTTTAGATTGAAAGGCAGCAGCCGCAACACCACAAAGTTCCAGAGGCGCTATGGAAATTGGAATCGAGTACAATAGAAGGTAATGAAATACAAGAAGTCATGCCGATCTAATTAGTAAGGTATGAAAAAAGAAGATATACGTACTTAGATCGAACATGGACCGAAGTCCAAACACCATGCAATGGGAATGAAAACAAAAGCACGAATCCATACCCTTTAACCTGCGAGCACATCATTAATTTTAATTATTTTTTTCATTTCGAAATGAATATACAATTTAAATTTTTATTCTTAAAATACAAATTTAAACATGATAATTATTTTTTTAGTATAAATAAAATACTTTCTTAAAGTTTTATAAAAGAACCCTCTGCCTTGCCAGAAGGGCAATGGGGATAGAAGTTTGATTTATGAAAATTTGGGGAGTGACTCTTGGCCGAAGAGGAGACTGTAGAGTCCTGACGCATTAGCCGCCTCGATATCAAACAAAATATAATACTGACTCCACAGAGGAAGGAATCGTAGCAGTTAAAACGTCGGCGTCAAATGGCCTACTTCGAACTAAGATACACATCAGCTGTTTTATCCTTCCACGCAATTCCCAGTTTGATTTTTCCAATTCGGGTTGTTGGTGGTATTACTACTATTACATTTCTCTACACTTAGATTATATGAACAAATAACGTTGGTTTAGAGTGTCTAAGATGAGCTTATTTCGGGTGTTATTTACTTGACTTTTGACAATTCCTAAGAATGTCCAAATATTATAGCGCCCACAAAGTCAAATTAACTTCAGAACTTCAAATTTTGCTAGTTGGCTGTTGCGTGTGAGCTCTGTCAAGGCTTGGAAAAGACCTAAAAAAAAAATGGCGGCAAACGACCCCCAAAAAATGATTGCATCCAGCAATTTTCCAGAACCAACTCTAGACTGACGATTTCTATAACCCAGGAAGCTTACACAAGCATAGGAATTCAGATACAAAGCTGTTTCGATCAATGCACTTTTATTTGCTCAATAGCGTTGGTAAATACAAGTGGTATACTGTTTTCAATACAATGTGAACATCAATATTATGTGGTCTGGCTATGTGACAACGGAAAACTGTGCAATCCTTTACTCTATTTAAAAAAAAAAAAAAATCATATAAAACAAGAGCTTGAAAAAAGGCCCCAAAAATGCCCAACGGAGCAAAAAGTTCCAGAACTGAGCAACATTCTCTTACTCTATAGGAAATACCAAAGCAACCATGTATTTACTGACCAAATTAGAACTGCAGAAAGGTGAGCCCTTTGAGTGGATTAAAGACATATACATACCCTTGGAATTTACTTAGACGGAACCACTTTGGGTAGTTCAAGAGGGGCTAAATTCATCATAGGAGTGAGAAAGCCATGGGTGTTCTAATGCTTCCCTTGCAGTTGGCCTTCTTTCGGGGTTAATCTCAAGCAATCTGCTTAAGAAATCCAAGAACAAGACATCAGAAATTTGGAGGTGATGCTCCAGTGGTGATGAGTCTTCAGCTATTATGTATTCCAACTGATTTGTTTCCTGTACGTAAATGTTATGACGTGAGATCAGTGATACAGAGAAGAAAAACACCTCATAAAGATCACTAAGAAACTGTCACAAGTTATCAGCAGAGATGAAGGATAAAGGCTAAATTGTTGCTACTGGTGGTCATGTATATCTAAAGATCCACAGTGTTCCTCCTTTGACTGGTGATACAATTTAACATGCCGATTTGTTATGCTATCTCTTTAACAGTACGATGACCAACATTATGCTGATTAGCCCCCTAAATTGGCAACAGTCTCGAGTAGAAGGTCTTGTTTTGTAAGTAGCAACAAATGCACCAATATCGAATCAAGTTTTTGTTTTTCATTGTATCTTTGTTTCCAGTTCATGAATACGTTTAAGATAAGGTGCAGCTTCTAAATGGAGGTCACCTCTCTGTATCCAAAAGTGAGCTTTCCGCTGACTAAAAATAGATGGGCCATTTCAAAGGCCTTGGGTGGAAAACACTATACGGACTGGGGAAAAAAGAACAAAATTCTCACAAGTTTCCTTACTAAAAGCACGAATCAGGAATGTAACATGACTTTCTTTCTACATGCCCTTATGAAACACTGAAGAACCAACCAACCCAAGTAAGAAGAAGTTCAAAACGCAGAACTACCTACTTGTCATTAGAATGTAAACTACCTGATTCTTCAAACACTGGAAATTACATACCTCGTTCATGTAATAAAGGTCATATTCTTTTGTAAAATACTTGTGCGTCTCCTGACCCATTTGTAGCATTTCCATGTCAATTGGACCTAGTACTGCTACCATACGTGCAAGAATCAATGCTATTGCTTCATTTGGAAAAAGAACCTGGATTATGTCCATGTTACAAGTCAAGCTTGCATCAAAAGTAGCAAAGAAGAGAATTTTCAAAGACATCAAAAGAAACATAGTCACACAATGTGAAAATAAGCAGTCCAAAAAACTTAGGAATTAAAAATTCAAAGCTATACCTCCCCTGAATATAACTCAGCCAAAATGCAACCAAGTGACCAAATGTCAATCTTCGGGTCATAAGAAAGACCAAGGATCACTTCAGGAGCCCTGTAAGAACGAGACTGCACATATAGTGATAAGTTGTCTGTCTGAAAGCAACTGCTTCCTAGGTCGATTACTTTTATCTCACATCTTCTGTAACTTTTTATGAGAATATTCTCAGGCTTTAGATCACAGTGCATGATTCCCAAGCCATGCAAATACTCCAATGCCTCCAGACACTGCTGAGTTATGGCCTGTTATTAGAAGGAAAAAGTTACCTTTAAAATTTTACCGACAGATTTCAGATCGTATATTTTCCAAAGAATTGACCCCAACTAATAGCTACATTACAACAAACCTGCAGTCTGCTCAACGTGAAATAGGGCTCTCCACCAGATTCTTTATTAAACTTCTGGAACTCATACAAGTTTGCTCGTAGAAGTTCACAAACAATGAATAGATGTTCCTGAAAGTCAAAAAAGGGAAGAAATATAAATACAACTTACATTTTTATGTATATCTTTCTAACCCCCATCGCATTCCAAATAGGATTCAGTCCATGGACCTCGACAAAGTACCCTAGAAACCTTACCACACACACATACTAGGATCAGTTCTCATATACAACTTAATTATTTTCATTACCGCACGTAACGAGTAAAGCTTGTATAGGCTTTTCAAATTAGGATGCATTTCCTTAAAATAAAATTAAGAGATAGGCCTGAGGTAGAAATGGAGGAAGCTTCAGGTGGATACTGGATACATATGCTACTTAACTGAACCTTTGGAATACATGGACCAATACAAGTCATGCAAAGAGATTGCATAGAACAGAGATATTTGTTTATATAGGCCAGAAAGAGAAGAGAAAACCATACAATTTTAGTTAGCTGTCTTGGTCAAGAATAATTCAACAATTTACAATCAAGAAGTTTAACGAGTACTCAGATTCTCCTCTTATGCATACCTGATGGTAAAAATAATCATATAACCGCAAGATGTGGTGTTTGTCGGCAGGATCATGTTTGTTGACATACTTCAAAAGTTTGATCTCATCTAAGCTCTGATCAAAAAAATCCTTATCATTCTTTATGATCTTCAAACAAACATCTGCTCCAGTGTGAAGATCATGTGCCCGGGCAACTTTACTGAAAGCGGCTGAACCAAGGTATTCAGTGATATAGTATCTACCAGCAACAATACTATTTAGAATGATATGGAAGTCCTTGTGTTCTTCAAAACCAGTCCTGTGGAGGGCATAACAAATGAGTACAACTTTTCGTACGTATCAATCCTGCAAAAGATAAACTCAAGAACCATTACAGGACAGAAGAACATTTGCAACTATAAAACCAAACTAATGTGTAATTTGGAACAGAACCAAAACTTAAATCTCAACAGGGTAAAATTTTATCTCCCAACTGAGGAACAGAAGACTTTCGTACTCTGCATCAAAATTCCGGGGGAACGAAAGCAAAAGAAAGAGAGCACATAAATTTAGAGAGGACGGCTACAAGATAGACACACCTGTTTTTACGGTGTATGATTCTTAAGCTGAAGACCTCATAATCCTCCTCCTTAGTCTCATAAGCCAGAAGTTCATCGGAAGGAGCAGCAACCCCTTCGTCTGCTATTGGATCAGGGTCATAGGTCTCTGAAGCCACTACACCATTTTCGTAAGGTTGACAGTGTCCATTTTCATCTGGATGGTAATTTTCCTCAGTTCCTTGGATTTCAGGGAGTTCAGGACTTTTAAATTCTCTATTGCAATCATGTGTAGAGTTTTTCTTGATACACTGGTAAGCATCACATCCTGTGGCTGTGTCTTCATCTGTGACTTTTTCCTTCAGATTTGCAAAATCTGCAGTATCTTCAGCATAATTTCTTCCTGCTTCACCAGAGCAAGCATAGAGTGGCGCTGGATAAGAATGATCCACAAAATCTTGTTGAACTGTCTTAGGAATTCCTTTAGGTTGCACATTTCTTTTAAAATCATAATAATCATTGAAACTGGCATTATCTTTCTTCTCCTCAAAGGCTATCGGCCACTGTCCATCATAGAAGTTCACATTACCTAGAGAGTGGTAGGTTTCAGATATATGATTATTCGAACTATAATCGCTGCTATTCCCGGTCTCAACAGTCATTACAAATTTATCCTCGGTAGGGTCACCATTTAAGTCAGACATGCCAAAGAGAGGTGGCATGATATAATCCTCATCTTTCTCTTTATACCAGTAGAGATCATTCTGCATATCAAACTCATGATAATCTCGGGCAGTGCCAAACTGAGACATCCTATCTGATGAAGCTTGCGAACTCGGCCTTGTGGTAGTACGAATGCCGTAGGGATTTGTAAAATCTGCACAATTAGAATAGCACCAATTTATTTACAGTATAAATTCTAAAAGTTCGCCACTCGCCTTTAAAGAAAATGGGGAATCATCAGCTATCAGAAAACTGTTCACAAGTCACAGAATCAAAGTGTTGGAGACTGAAAAACAAGTCAAATGAACAAATGCGAGAAACTTAAATGTCAGTTTAGAATAATTGCCTCTCCAAAAGGTAACTTCTAACTTAAAAATTACAGTTATTACAGGTCATAATCTGCATGCAGGGGAATCAGACCAACACTCAAACATAAGGGCACATTATTATTGCAGGTATTCAATTTCACAAATCAATGAAGAGGATATATTGTGTCCATTGAGGTTTGGGACTTCAAATTAGATTAGAGCAGAATCTAATTGTACAAATGAATCTCCCAAATAAAACAACAGCTAAAAGAGAGCTGGATCATAAATTACAAAGACTAATAAAACTTCTAACTCGAAATGATTAGGGGGGAAAAAGAAGAGAGAAGGAAAATGACCTGAAGAGCACAATTCAGTGGTAGAAGAAGCTAAACTCACAAACTCGTCTTCATCATCATCAGAAGCGGAGCTCAAACCACCAGCATCATCAGGAGGTGGCCCCGGCTGATGCCGCCGAGAAGTGGCCGGAATTTTAACAGGCGGAGGTGGAGGCACCATTGGAAATAGGAATCTCTGGAAATCAGAAGAACCAAGCTGGGATTTCTCCATAACATCCTCCATCAGAGCTGATTCCGAGTCGGAAAACCCATTGTTTCTCAAGAATTCCACCACGGCATCAATATCTGAAATTGCCATGTCCTTACAAAAAAAAAACCAGAAATTATAAAAACAATCCAAACTACAGGATGAAATTGGGAGTGCAGTGAGATAGTATGAAACAGGGAGAAGAATAAAGATGGTCAAAACTGAAGTGGAGACTGAAGAAGAGCGGTAGGAATTTCATGAGTTGGTGTTTTGCATGTTTCCTATGTACATTCAAACTGAACTGGGGATATTTATGTCACCACTTTTAGAACAGTACATAAGTTTGTTTGAATTGTCTGAATGAATCAGTTATTAACTGATATTTTATTACAATTTCATTTTCTGTAAAAAATAATTGCTGTAAGAAGAAGAAGAACTTGAGTTTGCCAATGTGGGCGGAAATTGACTCTTGGAGTTTTTGAGTCGAGTGAACTAAGGGAAGCCGGAAGGAAAAAGGAAGGATCATCAAAGTAGTTGTTTTACTACTGTTTATCTTTACCAACTTTGAAAAGTACCGAAAAGTAAAAAAGAGAAAAAAAAAAAAAAAGAGATGGGGGATTTTGCCTCTGTCATCTGGGTCCATGTGAAACAGAAAAACCGGATTGCATATTACTACATTGACATGTGGAATTTTCTTTCCAAGATATGAAAATCCTAGGTTGTCTTTTTTGGCTTTTTCATATTTTTGGTTCCTGAAATACTATACTCCAATAAAAAGTTTAAAAAAAAAACCAATTACATACAGTATTTTTCTACATTTCATTTTAAACCATTTATAGGAACAATAGTTTCAAATATCAGTATGTAATGGGAACCCAAAAAAAAAAAATTTGAGATAGAAGAAATCTGGGATTCTCCCTTTTTTTGGGGAACCAATTCCGCAAATGTTTGTCTTAGTACAGTACCAGAGGAATTTTCTCTACATCTTTTAATTTGGATTTTGGAAGGGTGATGAGAAAGAAAAAAAAAAAAAAAAAAGAGAAGAAGTGGATCCCACGTTTTGGTTTTGGTCCCACTGAAAGATGCCGCAGAAACGTAGATAAAAGTGAATGAGAAGTATTTACTAGAACTGCTTATTACCGCTAACCAACCACGGTAAACATGTTCTTTTCTTCATCGATTAACTTTATTGAAATTATTATTAACACCACCACAATCACACTAATGAATGAGTATCACATGCACTACTATGGAATGTATTTATGAATTTGTAATTATATCTACTATCATAATAAGTACCGTGTAAAAATAGTAAAATTTTTTGTTAATTATATAGTTCTAAATCAATATAATTTTGTGAGATTAACAGAGTATGGTAACCCAATAAGAATTTGGTAGTTTTGTTTGGTGATCAAAATATGTCACGGGGCAAACAATAAAAATAAAAATAAAATGAAATTTGGTGAGGGGTCCAACATAATACTGGTGCACCCTGCTTTTCACGGAGCTAATCGAATAATTCATCCGGCCCCACCATCCCCTTTAACCAATATCATCATCATCATTATTCCCCCCCTCCCCCCCCCCCAGCTTAATTAATGTACCTTGCTCTGTGAGCTCTATATTTTCCTTCCTCTCAGATCCAATGAATGGTTACACCGTCCTCTTTTTAATTTACAATTTATAAGTTTCTTTTCCACGCGTTTATCCGCGCCCACATAATCTTCAATCTACACTAATTGGGTTTTTTTTGGTCGTAGTATCTTTTTATTTTTTCAATCATGTATGGTGTTAATAGTAAGGTTCAAATAAATTATTATTTTTTTTAACTAAGCTATTGTTACTAAACTGTTTTTTTTCCAATTATCGAAAACAATAATCACATTAGATTGTTTAACGAGAGCTGAATTTTGGCGCTGATTCCTTAGCAGCGTTAGGAATGGAGAGTCTTGGTGAGTTACAATGGCTAGAAATACCTCCTGATACTGTTAAAATATGGCTTCAATATGATATTGTCGGAATTTCTTACCAACGCGCTGTAATAAATTAGAATTCCATGCATTTGCCTCTTTTACTGTAAAAAAAAAAAAAAGAAAAAGAAAGAAAAAAAAGATTGATAGTATTCACCAAATGAGCTGCTCGTGAGTTGTTTGATGTTAGAAAGTAGAAACTGAAGAGTTTTTGGCTTTTTTTTTTTTTCCAAGGTGAACACTTCGCTTTTGATGCTGCAACATAGCAAAAGTGCTTGGGGACCTTTGGCGGTTCATCCATTCAAGGAAAAGGAACCCGGTTAGGCTGAGAAAGATGGGGTGGAATGAATAAGCGTAAGTGCTATAAATTGAGAGGAGCATCAATTATTTAAACGTTTAACTCAGATGGAATATTTCCGTTATATTGCTTTTTATTGTATGCCCAAACAGTTGCCAATATGGGTGAAATTGTGAAAAGGTGACACCATTTTTGGGTATTAATTAATCAAGTGACGAGGAGGATAAATTAAAAATCTTAAATCTCTACTAATCATGGTGAGGTGTTTTGGTCACGCTAAATTTCAGCGGTTGTAATAAAACAAAATTATACCATTTGCGATGGAAGATTATAAGGTGTTATTAATATATGTTATTATGATGGTTCATATTGTTTGGATTATGTCAACGGGGTAGGTAATCGTCTTTGCTTATATATATTCAAATCTTCAGTTTTACAGATGAAGTGGTAATATTGACAAATGAAGAACTCAAAAAATAAAAATACTTTTCAACAAAAAAAAAAAAGAAAGAAATACTAATAACCAGCAACCAGTAGTTATAGTGACGCAAACACAATTAAGCAGGTCCACGGTAGCAGTTAAGAGTACTAATCCACCGGTGAACCGTGACAATGATGTTTTATCTCTCTACACTCCCTGTGGCGCTTTCGGTTTTATGAATTCAGAGAGGACTTGGAGGAATTTTTTTCCGGAGAGAAATTTCTGCGTTGATTTCGGCATCAAACAGAATTACTACTAGAATAGACCAATAAGGATAATGAGCCTTTTCATCCCAAGGTTTGAGCTATACCATTTAAAATATTCTAAAGTTTAAAAGTATATCATTTTCATCCCAAACTTTTCAAAAATATGTAATATTAGGACATTTGTTAATTTTTTCAAGTTGTTAATGGCGATATTTCATTTAGTTTCTTTTTTCCATTTTTTTTAGTCAAAAAAATTTCATGCTTCCGTTTGGTAAATTTGGTCCATGCCAAGCAAAGAAGTTGCATGCCCCTGCATCAATTACAACACCAATTTTTATAATGATGCTATATATTTAAAAAAATACAATGAAATAGGACTTACTTTCTAATTAGGACACATACAAACCTCTCATGATTTTTATCAATCTAGAAAGTGAATCTTAGATTTTTGTTTTCTAAGCAAAGGAAGAATGGATGATATGAAGACCAAATTAGGTTTAGCTATTTTCTTATAAAGTGGAAGTTAGTGAAACGTGTTAAATGATTAAAAGAATTGGGGGAGGAGAAACAGAATAAAGTACCACTACTAATTAATTAATCGGAGTTAAAAATTTAACGAATATCCTAATGTAACATGTTTTTAAAAAGTTTTGGATGTAAATAGCATGTTCTTAAACTTTTGGATGTTTTAGATGGTGCGGCCCAAACTTTGAGATGAAAAGACCCATTTTCCCTAGACCAATAACTCATTCACTACACCTCAAAACGCTGAACCAAATTAAAGCCAATTATAGTATATTTGATTCAGGCAATGTGGTGCTGATTTAATCGCTGTATCATTAAGATGCCTAGTTACATTAAGATTTCATTGTTGCACATAGATTAATGCTTAGCAGAATGTCAATTCTGATACTTGCGTCAAACATATTTTTATTTGAGTGGATCACAAAATTAATGTTGTCCCACTTGAGACACGAATGTGTGCGTACCATATACTACTAGTCAGCAGTTTCCTCCATGATTTAATGAAATCGTCAGTTTCATATTCTGTAGGGTTCAATCATTTTAGAAGGTATCAGAATAATTTGAAGTGGTAGTATTTGAACGACTACTCCCGACAAACAGAATCATCAACTACCAAAATAATGGAAGAAGTACGTACTTTGCATATTTGCAAACAAAACAAAGCAAAGCAAAGCATTGATGAGGAAGTAAGAATTGGTAGCGGGGGTTCCAACCAACCAACTCCCGTGATGTTGTCATAACCTTAACCTACCAAACAACATTTAGCACCGCAACAGGCAGGACTCACGATTTACAAGCTAACTCTTTTTTCGTTTTCTTAGTGACCTATTCCATCGGGCACTTGGAGAGGGAGAAAATCAGAAAAGGGCTTTGTCCCCCCCCTCCATCATCAATTTTTTTTTTTTTTTTTTTATCTCGTTAGCTTTTTTATTGGTGCAACAAATCCCCTATCTAATGTATCAACAAAAATGCGAAACTTCTTCAAAGTTCAAACAAAAATGATGAAATAAAAAGGGCCCATTGAAGCTCTCGACATATTATTTATTATTATATTAAGGGGGCCATACCATATAAGCAAGTGGAGAGGACGACTATGTTTTGAGATCCTATAATGTATTCACTTAATCATCAATCATTCTACGGGACCTTTGTTCTAGGTGGACTAATTAACATGAAGATGTTAAGTTGGGGAATATGCTAAGTCCATGGACAAAAATATGCTGCTTTTGACAATTAATCATTGCGCAAACGTTTACTTTTCTTCTAGTAGGGTTTTTAGTCAGGGGTTTCTTTAAATTTTACTTTTTAATACTTCTTTTACAGTAAAAATATTGTTATACTTGAATTTTTATTTAAATATAATTTATACTAAAAATGAAAATTCAAATCAGACAATTATTTTAGGATAGAAAGAGAGTATTAAAGTAAACGTCTAAAACTAGAAGAATAGAATTGAGAGCTAGCAGCATTGCCTTCAGAATTTTGAGATATTTTATTTCATTTCATTTCATTTATGTGTTTTTTCAATATGTAAGGAAGTCATTGGCTTAGATACAAAACATCCTTGCAGAGAGAACGCCAGAACAGGATGATGGGCAATCTAGGACAGATTTTACCAATGAATCTGCGACAGTATTATACAGGCGTCAGGTAACCCAACCGAAATTTGCCAATTAAGGGTCAATAGATTTTCGATTTCATTTGGTTGTCAAAGAGGGGAGAATCACAAATTCACCGTGGATTTAACTAAATGTTGGGCTTTTACTTGGGAACGAATTAAGTTTAGTTTGCCCAAAAAGAAGGCCCATTCTATGCCCGACGAACTACTGTGTTGGAAGTAGCGCACTGAATAGGAATTAATGAAACGATGGCATTGGTGCTGAATAAGTTTGTAGTTTCCTAATTAAGGGTTGTGATCAGCTAGTTCCTATTAGTAGTAGTGATTTCAAAGACGGAAGCTATTAACACTACTGTCCCAGCTGAGAGAAACAGATGTAAATGAACCATGTTTGACAAGTGATTAAACACGTGACAAAATTTTAACTAATATCACAAGGAGTGTA